TAATGAAGTCAACGCTCCGTCCCCCTCGTGCTCTTTTCCAAAGTCCCGAAACCTTTCAGCTCGAGTTAGAAAACCGTTTTCAGTGCCTAGAAGACTGCAATGAAGTGGACGATTTGAATGACAAGCTCGTGGAAACTGTCCATGCGGTCGGAGCTAAGTTCTGCAAGACCCGCCGCAGAAGAACACAAAAACTCTCCGATCACACTCTTAATCTCATGGCTGTTAGACGGGAGATGAAGCTACATTCTTCAACAGATTTAACAGCATACAGGCAACTGAACAGACAGATCTCCAAATGCATGCGGCGGGACTTACGCAAATTCAATACAGCTCGTATTGAAGAAGCGATCGAGCGGAACCGAGGCTCCAAAGTCTTTGCCAGAGATCTGTCTGCCAGAAAGCGCCAACTGTCAAAGCTGAAGACAGAATGTGGCAGCATCGTTTCCGGGGCACCTGAGATTTTGAGTGAGATTGAGAGGTTCTATGGGCAGCTGTACACGTCATCGTTGGAGCCACACGCAAGTGTGAGTAACGATCCAAGAGCGAGTCTTATCCGACATTATTCCGATGATATCCCGGACGTCAGTCTGAGCGAGATTAGAATGGCTCTCCAGCACCTTAAAAACGGCAAGGCCCCAGGCGAGGATGGAATTACAGCGGAGCTTCTGAAAGCGGGTGGAAGACCGGTACTTGAAGTCCTTCAGAAGCTCTTTAATTCCGTCCTCCATGGTGGCATTACACCGGAGGCGTGGAGCAGAAGTGCGGTGGTCTTGTTCTTCAAGAAAGGCGACAACGCTCTCTTGAAGAACTACAGACCGATTTCCCTTCTGAGCCGCGTCTACGTGCTGTTTTCGAGAGTCATTACGAATCGTCTCGCGCGCAGACTTGACGACTTCCAGCCTCCCGAACAAGCCGGTTTCCGAAAAGGCTTTAGCACCATAGACCACATACATACCCTTCGGCAAATTGTGCAGAAGTCCGAGGAGTACAATTTGCCACTATGTCTGGCGTATGTGGACTATGAGAAAGCCTTTGATTCCGTCGAAATTTGGGCGGTGCTGCAGTCCCTTCAGCGATGCCAAGTTGACTGTCGGTATATCGAAGTGTTGAAGTGCTTGTACAGTAGGGCTACGATGGCTATCCGAGTACAGAACCAGAGTACGAAACCTATCCAATTGCAGAGAGGTGTAAGACAGGGTGACGTCATATCCCCGAAACTCTTTACCGCTGCATTGGAAGATGTTTTCAAGCTTCTGGACTGGAAAGGATACGGTATCAACATCAATGGCGAGTACATCACTCACCTTCGATTTGCCGACGATATAGTCCTTATGGCAGAATCGCTGGAGGACCTAAGCACTATGCTCAATGACCTCAATAGTGTTTCCCAACGGATAGGTCTTAAGATGAACATGGACAAAACAAAGATCATGTTTAATGTCCATGTCACACCTATGCCGGTAGTTGTTGGGAACACTAAGCTCGAAGTTGTTGACGAGTATGTTTACCTGGGACAAATAGTCCGACTAGGTAAGTCCAACTTCGACCGAGAGGTCAATCGACGGATTCAACTCGGTTGGGCAGCGTTCGGGAAATTACGGCACATCTTCTCGTCAGGTATACCTCAAAACTTGAAAACGAGACTGTACACCCAGTGCGTATTGCCAGTGATGACATACGGAACTGAGACGTGGTCCTTCACTGCTGGCCGGATGAGGAAGCTCAAGGTCGCTCAGCGAGCTATGGAGAGGGCTATGCTCGGAGTTTCTCTGCGTGATAAACTCAGAAATGAGGATATCCGCAGTAGAACTGGAGTGACCGACATAGCCCAACGGATTAGTAAGCTGAAGTGGCAATGGGCCGGCCATATAGCTCGAAGAACCGACAACCGATGGGGAAGAAAGGTTCTCGAGTGGCAGCCTCGTACCGGCAGGCGAAGTGTAGGGCGTCCCCCCACTAGATGGAGTGACGACCTGGTAAGATATGCAGGAAGTCGATGGATGCAGGTGGCTCAGGACCGTGCTTTGTGGCATTCTTTGGGGGAGGCCTATGTTCAGCAGTGGACTTGTGAAGGGCTGTAATGATGATGATGGAATCCGTAAATAATAGTTTTATTCAATATAAGAAATCATTATGAATTCCCCAAAACTCACGACCAAAGATTTATTCGCAAAAGTGTTGAAAATTGTATCCTACATTGAAAACAGAAAATATGATTATATATCTCATATACATAGATATATACAACGGTAACATAAGTTTTAATATGATGAGAGACAGCTGTGTATCGCTAGCAACGCAAAATCGGGAATTTGCATTTGGAAAAATCCAAAATTAGGGGCTTTTTAAGTGCTAATTAGGTGCCAAGTTTAAAAATTAGGTGCTCTAAAATTTTCACCGCAAGGAACGATTGAAATTTGCGTTGCCAGCAAAACGTCTCGCTAGCAACGCAATAAAGTTATTAGATATACCATAAATATTAATAGCAAGGAATTAAGTGCTAATTAGGTGCTGCAAGTATACGCAATAACAAGGCGCCCCTAATAAAAATAAAGTCATTATTCAGAACATAGCAGATGCAAAATTCAGATTTCCTGAAAATCAAAATACAATCAAAAATGCTTTTAGAAAAAGTCCAAATTAGGGGCTTTTTAGGTGCTAATTAAGTACCAAGTTTAAAAATTAGGTGCTCTAAAATTTTCACCGCAACGATCGATTGAAATTTGCGTTGCTGGAAAAACGTATCGCTAGCAACGCAAGTACGTTATTAGATATACGATAAATATTAATAGCTAGGAATTAAGTGCTAATTAGGTGCTGCAAGTATACGCAATGACAAGGCCCTATAAAGTCGTTATTCCAAACAAAGCAGATGCAAAATTCAGATTTTCTGAAAATCAAAAAATAATCAAAAATGCTTTTAGAAAAAGTCCAAATTAGGGGCTTTTTAGGTGCTAAATAAGTACCAAGTTTAAAAATTAGGTGCTCTAAAATTTTCACCGTAACGATCGATTGAAATTTGCGTTGCTGGCATAACGTATCGCTGGCAACGCAATGAAGTTATTAGATATACGATAAATATTAATAGCAAGGAATTAAGTGTTAATTAGGTGCTACAAGTATACGCAATGACAAGGCGCCCTATAAAGTCGTTATTCCAAACAAAGCAGATGCAAAATTCAGATTTTCTGAAAATCAGAAAATAATCAAAAATGCTTTTAGAAAAAGCCTAAAATAAGGGCTTTTTAGGTGCTAATTAAGTACCAAGTTTAAAAATTAGGTGCTCTAAAATTTTCACCGTAACGATCGATTGAAATTTGCGTTGCTGGCAAAACGTATCGCTAGCAAGATATACTAGATATACGATAAACATTAATAGCAAGGAATTAAGTGTTGATTAAGTGCTGAGCGATTATCGAAACCCGATACAGATTAAGATATTATTCTGGGAATTATGGGGTCCACGACCACCATTACCTTACCATAATGTATGAACGGTATTTTTTGTTATTTGTCAGTACCTAAAAATTTAATGCTAATTAGGTGCTGAAAGATTATTGAAGTCGCATGTAAATGACGGTAATATTCTGGAAATTATCGGATTCAAAACCACAATTACTATAAGGTATGAACGGCATTTTATGTTTTTCAGATTTAATATAATCTATAATATTATTTAATATAATTTTCAACTAAATAAATGTTACTATTCTTATTTTTAGACAGGTGAAGCCTAAACTTTAGTGTACTAAATCGAAAGGATATTTTCTTTCCAGTAAATAGCGTTGTAATAAATAGCGCCATCTACAACGTTCTATAGTTCTAGTCATTTTATCGAATCAAAATCGATGGACTACCAAGGTGGTAAGTACGATAGACGCTAGATGGCACAAACACAAAGACCTGATTTTTGCATTTGGTTTACTGAATAATTTTCTTAATAACGATTTTATTTTTATCTGGGGCGCCTTGTCATTGCCTATACTTGCAGCACCTAATTAGCACTTAATTCCTTGCTATTAATATTTATCGTATATCTAATAACTTCATTGCGTTGCCAGCGATACGTTTTGCCAGCAACGCAAATTTCAATCGATCGTTACGGTGAAAATTTTAGAGCACCTAATTTTTAAACTTGGCACCTAATTAGCACCTAAAAAGCCCCTAATTTTGGATTTTTCCAAATACAAATTCCCGACTTTGCGTTGCTAGCGATACACAACTATGAGAGACTGGCAGAGAATGTCTTAAGGTGTTAAGTTTGCCCTTAGTAACCTTTTTAGTTAAGAAACTCGGTAAAATTTAACTATATAAATAAAATAGTTCTCCAATTAAAGGACAACCAAAAATATTCAATGACTCACTTTCAATTTCATTCACTGACTTTGAATGACATACCTACTGGGTGGTACTTTTCTACCCAGAAGTTCATGTAGGTATGGTAGGTAGGTCTCTCATTGCCGAAGTTAGTTATAGTAACCATTAACTATTAAGTGGTCGCAATGGCGTAGCTAGCCGGTGCGGTGGCCAGGGTGCCAAAGCTCCGGGTGCCGGGTGAGCATTTTGGGAAAGAAGTCATCTCTCCGCCTCAACTTTTAAAATATGCCAGTTACGAGTAAAATTAAACAGAGAAGAATTTTTCGAATCGAATTTCAACACGAATTTCGGAAACCGCATTCAAGTCTGCATTTAAGTAGTTTTTTTTAAGGGAATACACTTACACAGACGCCGACAAGCATCTTTGTTTTATATTGCGCGACTTGTACATTCATAGCCTTTATAACAGTCTTTTTAACACCTGTCTCTTTTACAGGTGTACGTGAACTAAACGTCACGTAAAGGAAATTAACTCGTCAAAGTGTCAAGCAGAGGTGACAACACTTTCACCAGTAGAGCACGCAACCTTCCCACGGTGAAACCGTGTGAAGGAAACCTCGTGGAAAATGCTCTTTGTTTCTATGGACAAAAAAAGGAACTCATGTGTCAGATGAACTGCCAAGATGAAAACGCAGTGTTTGGATTTCACCCGGAGTCAACCAAGAGTCCGCTTAAAACCAGTTTATCTATGGTCCCAAAAGCTACTGTGTCTTGTGTTCACAACAATCTTCTTAGGGTCTGCTGCCAACAGACCGCCACGTTTTCTCATAGAGGGACGCTCAGAAATTGTCGTGAGGTTAAAAGAAGGACCCGATACGCCAATAGGTGAGTCTTTATTTTTATATTTATTCCATAACAATTAAGTACGTTTTTTTTTGCACATTTTATTTTCAAATATATAACCTAATAGGTTTAATTTTGATTCCAGTTGATAAATAAAATAGTTTTACGATATTAGGAACTAGTGATCTGCCCCGGCTTCGCGCTAGTGATTTCTTGATCTCAACAATAGTGCCACCTACCAGGTTCAATGGCAAGTCTAAACCAGGGACCCATTCAAACTCACACAATTTATTTTACCAAAACCGCTCGAGCCGTTTTTGAGTTTCAGCGAGACTAACAAGAATTACGACAATAAATTATTATAAATAGAGATAAAAATAATATATTATACCGTACGCTAATTCGTTGATAAGAAATCATTAATATATAAAAAGTTTAGGCTGTATTGTTTTTAATATTCCGTGGATTTTATGGGAGAAAATTCCAATTTTCTTTTCGAATGTCAATACATCTACATACGATGCGCTTATCTGATGTATGATGATATAACAAGCTCCTGAAGTTGGTAAAAACTACTCCAAGACGTGTTTCTCGGCACAGAGAAGACTGAAGAAGAAAGTGATTTTTCATCACCTTAAAAGCCTCTTGCTCGACATAGGCTTTCACCGATATACATAAAGAAGAGTTACCCTATTCGCTATTCGCAACGCTTGGCAGACGGATTGGTGATGGCGGCGCCTTTTGTTTTCATTGTAATGTTTGTTTCTGATATAATATATATTGTCATTGTGTGTGAAAGAATGAAGGAAAAAAACATTTTTTTTCTTTTTAGGGTTCCGTACCTCAAAAGGAAAAAACGGAACCCTTATAGGATCACTTTGTTGTCCGTCTGTCTGTCAAGACCCCTTTCTCAGGAAAGCGTGGAGGTATCAAGCTGTAATTCATACCAAATACTAAAGTCTACTGTCCCTTGGAGCTGTGAAAAAATCAAACTTCTAGGCCAACGCAATCAAAAGATACAGCTGTTAATGCCGCAAATTTTCGACATTCGCAAGGGTATCAAAACCTAAAGGGTACTTCCCGTGAACTCAGAATCTTAAAATTTGATACGAAGCAACGTATTATAGCACAGATAAAGGGAAAATTGCGAAAAGCATAAATTTTTAGTTACATCATATAATTAAAATATTTTTAATAATTTTAAACTTATATACCTACGGATTTGTTCGGAACCCTTGGTGCGCGAGTCCGACTCGCACTTGGCCGGTTTTTTTTTCTTTCTAAAACATCTGATGATACAGTACAATTTGAGATGCTCGTAGCGTCGTGACACGCTGATTATCGAAGGCATTCTTTAGACATCGAATTATCGTTCCGCACAGATAGCGACAACATTATGACAGCTTCACCGCATTTTCCGTGGTGTAGACGCTAGACATTGCTGTTAAATCTAAAATAACTGTAAAGGTAGTTAGCTGGTCTATTGGAATACAAAAGACTCATTAGAGAATTCACGCCAGTCCTGAAAAACGTAAAATAACGACTTAAAGTTACAGCTTATATACCGTCCCACTGCTGGGCACAGGCCTCCTCTCATTTATGAGAGGGCTTTAGCGCACGGAAATGTCCGCCGCGCTGCCCCAATGCGCATTGGCGAACTTCAAATGTCTTGTTCACAGGTCACAGGTCACAGGTTTCCTCACGATGTTTTGCTTCACCGCCGAGCACGTGGTAAATGAGCACTTAAAATTGCAATTAACAATTTTATTGGTGCCGGCGGGGATCGAACCCGGGTTGCTCACGTACTGTGAAACTTACATCTGAGTAGAATAATTGAATAAGGATGCCTCCTACACACATTTTCTTTGTTGTAAGTCTGTAATGTGCGATGGGTTGGAAACGCCTGGGTAAAGTATGCCTTATCCTTATATGCATTATATTATATGCCGTACCTATTATATGGACAATACAGAAAGAAAGTTAGCTTTGATAGTACTTGGCTTGAACGAGTGGAAGGAATATGGAAAGAAGGAAAATAAATTCTCTATTCTACTGTACATAGTATTATGTTGCATTCCTTGGGGGAAGCCTATGTTCAGCAGTGAACTTGTGAAGGGCTGTAATTACGATGATGATGACCTTGATCATATAGATATGTATATATATAATAATTAAAGCTAGTGTTTTATAGACTAGCGGTGATAATTGAACACCTAACAAAATTGAAGTCTATTAAGATCGTAAGTTTTTATCAAGAATGCATGCAGCAATTAAAAACTTGGGGTAAATTAAAACGTATTCTAACTTGATACCATATAATTTTAAATAAAAAATTTGTAGTACAAAAATTGGCTTTGTATTCGATTGGAATTTAAATATAGAAATCCAGGCTTAGCAGCTACGTATACTTAATATTTAAAAATAAACTACAAAAAATGAATGCATGCCCCATTTACCCATGTAAAACAGATTTTGTAGGTTTAATTTAAATGCTATAATAGGACACGGAAATTTTGATTGAAAATATAATTGCCAGTAAACACTGAGCATTTCATTTCATATCTTTTCATTCTAGATTTTATTTTTATCCAAACAAGACAAGAGCTGCATTCGATTGCATTATAAGCTAATGAGTTGCTTTTAGGCGAAGCTTCAACGTCACTATCCGGAAATTGCTTCGGCTATAGAGTGGGGTTACCAAGACAACAAACAGTAAACAGGGGAAGCCTTACACTTCCTGATATCGACTATGTAGCAGGTTACGAACGATTAGTCATCAGGGACGCTCATGTAATATACTTTGAACTTAATGCCATAAGGATCTTGTTACTTTAGATACGTACTTGTAATACTTTCTACGGATCTACCGGTCTTCCTTCCTGTAACGCGTTACATTTGTACACATATTAACCCGTGATAGTTCAGGGTCTCAGTCATAGTATAGCTCCGCATATATACTCGTCGGTAAAAGGTCTTAATTGAGGCCCATCTTCAATCTTCAAATTGAAAATATTGCCGACTCCACCATTCACTTCTGTATCAGTTATGTTTAACTAGGAAAATCAAAGAAAATTATATTAAAATTATACATGGAATAAGCAGTGCCTATGTACATATGTTCTTTTTACCATTTTCCTATCAAAGTATGTGTGTACATAAACTATTAAATAAATTAATAAAAACATTCAATAACTAGAAACCTCATTTAAACTACCAGACTACCATCCAGACCACTACGACCACTTGGGCCAACCTTTACCAATGTGGGCTACACTAGCTTCACCGTGGATGGCTATAATATGGCTCCGAGGAATAAGCGACGACTCGACCGTAGATATACCTCTTCTGTGGCATCCTGGGCTGCTTTCGAAACCTGGGGGTCGCGGCTGAGTGGCTTTAATTTTAGTCATAGGGCAGTTACCCCGATATAAACTGGCAACCTTCGAACATCAATTGGCATAATGGTGATAATATAAAGCCTCAATGGACGGAGATTGGGGACTAGTTGCGTCTCTCATGACATACATGATGGTTAGTTAAAAAAATAGTTCTGCCGTCCTCTAGATGGGTACCACCCACTGTTAAAAAGATCTAGGGGTAAAAAAATCTGTTTATAAACAGGCTGTGAGGCATTCCATCTTAGTTTGCAAGGGTGATAAGGCAACTGTAGCTTTCTATTTTTAAGTTAGTTGCAGGATACAGGTTTAGTTACAAAATGTAACCACTTACCACCGTTAGTTCGTTGATCTCTCAAGTATTTAAAATAAAAATAAAATAAAAGTGCTCGAAACGTCGGGAATATTAACAGTGGTAGAGCCACGTGACAGCTTTTGGTGTCGCACGGATGAGCCGGCTCGAACCGGGGTGGTACCACGACCTCACAGAAAACCAGCGTGAAGTAGAGGTTTACCTCTGCGTTTCGCTTGGTAAGTGCAGGTGGCCGGAGGCTCTTTTTACTGGAAATGAGGCATTCCATCTTAAACCTCACGGGTGACAACGCATCTACATTTTGATTTGTAATAGAGGATAGATGTAGATGTCTATGGGCCGCAGCAACCACTTACCATCAGGTGGACTGTGTGCTCGTTTGTCACCCTTATCCTATAAATATATATATATATATATATATATATATATATATATATATATATATATATATATATATAAAATAAGTTAATATGCGCGATAAAATCCGTGAAATTAGTTTTATTTAAATGTGTAGTGTTCGCGTAAATATAAGAAATCATTATAAAATAAAAATGTTTTGGAAAATTGTTGACTTCGGATTGAATTCGAATCCAAAGCTCGCAGCGTAATAGAATTAAAATTTCAATATTGTAAAGAAAACGGATAACGATATTATCGTACATTTTTAATTTGTGCTGGTACTCTGGTTGAGAAAAAAAATTCGTCAACATTTTCTAATGAACTTGGTACATTTCAGGAACTTTAATATATCGACTTCGAGGCATTGATCCTGACGGCGATACACTGAAATTCGGTATTAAAGACCAACTCGGTAGTGATATAGTAAGACTAGAAGCCATTTCGTCCAACGAAGCTAATGTATATTTAGTTAAGGAATTAGATAGAGAGGTAAGAATTTATTGAATAATTTGTTAATAGTATGAAATTAAGAATAATTAATTCATTTATTTTATTGTAAATTAACTCATTGAATATTTATAGAACTTACTCAAATCGTATAACTGAGTAATATTGGGTAATGACTAGTACTATGAAAGTATATCAAAATTATACTTTTTAAATATTTTTTATTAATATTTGATACTGTATCCACGATAGCTGCTGCCTACAAACTATAATACTAGAACTACAATATATTCATCATATTTTTATAAGAATTGGAAATAAATAAATAAAAAGTAAAACTGTTCGTTTCGGAAGGAGTTTAAAACGTTTTTTCTTATCGCTGAAACTGATTTCGAGCTTTAATAAGATCTTATCGCATGAACTTTACGTCAGATACCTAACGGAAGAAACTTTTAGATCGATTGATTGCTTCTGTATTTACGCATACACTTATGGCATAGGTGTCATGTCCGACGCAGTTGATAGCTTCTAAGAACAATTGGAGTTATACCAGTATCTAAAGTACACGTTGGCCAGGAGAACATTGTCATCATTTGCAAAATGCTAAGTTTAAATTACATGTTTAAGTGAGGCTGACAACTTGATAAGTTGTTTTTCTAACCTTAATTTATAATTAAAATGAAAAAATGCTATTTTATGTTGATATTCATCATTCATAATGTTGTAAGAGGTATGTAGGAATGAGCACCATTATACCAATATAAAATAGCAGCTTAAGGCTGTTGTGTTGCGTATATCTAGTGTACAGAACCGGACACCGTTTTTACTGAAAACATGGCATTCCATCTTAATCTTCAGGGGTTCCAATGCATCTGCATTTTGATTCCTAAACAAGGATAAATGTAGACGTCCATGGGCCACAACATACACATACCATTAGGTGGACTGATTGCTCATTTGTCACTCTTATTTTATAAAAAAAATCAGGCTTTAAACATTTCACAGCTGAAAGTTGGGAGTTGGGACTATTTCGTAGTAGAGATTTGACGAAATCTGGTGACCCTTTACCCCCCATCGCTGGTCTAGGTATTTCGTATTAAAAATAAGCTTGAAGATAGGTTTACATGAATTTAAGATCAATTTATATAATAATAATATAACAGTTATAACTGTATAACATTTTCTTTTTCAGACTCGTGATGAATACTCTTTTGTCCTGACGCTAACGGATGGACATTTAGGAGAAGGTAACTTTGTAACACAAAGTTTTTTGTTGTTGGTCGAAGATGTAAACGACAACGAACCTGTTTTTAAACCGTATGCCTCTGCTATTACCGTAAGAGAAGATGCAACTCCTAGTGTTTTAACAACCGTAGAAGCTACTGATCTTGACGAAGGAGCATATGGACAAGTAGGTATTTTAACTATTTATCTACAACTGCAATATAAGTGTCGTTTTTAGTATAATATGCTTTAGTTATATTATCTACCAGTTCAACCATATCGTTACTTGTTTTAAAGCTAAAACTACTCTCAAAAATCCGTTTTATTTAGAACCGTCTAAATTTATAAAGTGATAAACGAAAACCACTGTTAGCCGCGATTATAATATTGAAAAAAAAACTATGAATACTTCTGCATTAAATTAAAGGCACACAACAATTCCTATTGGATAAAACTAATTTACCCAACGAAATTTATAGCGATTCACGTATATTCTCCATGTCGTAGCTATGCTGGATGTTTTTAATGAGAACCACTCGTTTATAAATTTGCTAACCCGAGAATAATTATGAAATTAATAATTAGAATATTAACAATTCCAAGAACGTTGTACATTTCTATGGATTCTATGATTTAAGCAACTACTATGGCGCTTGATGCCCATTCAGATCTCAACTTTCATTACCGAAGCAGACATCTACGAGCAACTTTTTATCCGAACTTTGTCACTTATCAGATTTACGATTTTGGTTGAATATTATTAATTTTTGAAAAAGAGAGACTTTTTTTATTTATTCTATGCTACTACAGCGCCACCCTTATTGGACGCGTTTTTAGGGACACTTTTCATATACAGAGATGGTCCTCCTTCTACTCTACACTCCATTATGACTTGGTTGTAGGGAGTTTTGGCGGGAACTTGACCGGCGGCGGTTTGCTGCTCCTGTATTATAGTTTAAATAAAAGTTTTAAGTGGATTTTGATATGTAAAAATGATGCAATTTTATGTATTAACTGTCTACGTATGTGAACTATTAGTGGAAACGGTGAAACAAGTGCTCTGATGGTAATGGATTCTCAAGATAAGCTGTTTGTCTGCAAAGGCGCCTTTAGATACCACCGCCAACTGTCAGCTCTCTGCTGGTTCAAGTTGCTGTCAAAATCTCCCAAGGGCTGCACAATGTGACGCATCAACATATTGTGTAGCAGTGAACTATGAATGATAATTTAAAAAAGACAAGGCTGTATGGCTTAGTTTCTTTGCCTGCTCTCTCGAGCGAATAATAAAAACAACAACTTGGTTGTGACACATATGACCATGGAGTATAGAATATGACTTATCATATTCATAACATATGTTTATGTTATGACATTTTATGCCATTTGAATTTGATTGACACGAGCCTTTATTTGGTAAATTTTTATTTTTGTTTTATATTTTGTAATAAATTAATGAACATTTTATAGGTCTTATATCATTTGCAAGAATTAGACGGAGACGTAGAAAACTTTGCAGTACAAACAGTGAATGGTAAAGGGGTAATACGCTTAGTTAATCGCTTAGACTATGAACGAAAGTCATTATATCAACTACGGGTATTGGCGGTTGATCGCGCAAATCAAGGAAGAATTAACACAGGCACGGCCGCTATATTAGTAAAGGTTCAAGACGTTGAAGATCAGCCACCGGAGTTCCTGGTTGCTAGTCCTGTTACTAGAATAAGTGAGGATGCACCTGTCGGGACATCTGTTTTACAAGGTATAACTTTCAATTTAACAATATAATGACTTATGTTAACAGTAATTTACTAAATTAATTTTTTATATTATTAATATTTTAATAGTTCGGGCCATTGACGGAGATAGAGGAATTAACAATCGCATTTCGTACAGTATTATATCTGGAGGAGAGGAGCATTTTGATATTGACAGCAGTTCAGGCGTTGTATACACTATCAATCCGTTGGATAGAGAAGATCCATTTAATAGCAATGGAGCTTATATCTTGGAAATTTTGGTAAGAATCTTTGGGTTGAGTTTAATATTACTTGGCTTGCATTATACATTATCTTAAATTGTAAAAGTATATTCTGCTACAAAGTTTCTATTATTATCACTTATTCATCGACAATATGTATTGTTTAGGAGAAAATGCAAAAATAATTTGTACTCAAACTTTAGTCACAGGGGTTATTTTATGTGGTAGAGCCATGCTGCAGCTATGTTAGTAGTATAGTTGCAGCACGAATGGATCGACTCGACCGGGGAAGGACCACGCTCTCATAGAATACCAGCGTAAAATAGCAGTTTAATGCTGCTGTTTCTATGGTGAGTGTAGAGAACCGGAGACCCTTTTTACTTGAAAAGAGGCACTCTATCTTAGTCCTCACGGCTGACAACGCATCTGCATTTTGATTCTTTATTGAGGATATATGTAGATGTCTATGGGTCACAGCAATCACTTACCATCAGGTGGACTGTGAGCTTCTTTGTCATCCTATCCTATAAAAAATGATAAGGGTTTTTATGTTGACAATGGCATTTACTTTTTGTAAATGGAGTCTAAGAGTCTTTATTTTCTACTATGATACTTATATGCATTTAAAAATATAGTTGCCCCACAAATTATAATTTTGTATATTATTTCACTTGGTTAGATTATAAAAGTAAGCATTATGTAGAATAGGATGAAATATTTAGTAGCAACATCCAGTAAAGCTTCAGAAATAAAATCCTTGTAAATAGATACAAAGAGTTCAATTTTCATGAAAAATAATATTCAAAAAAAGTTATACACCAAAGACAAAAGAAACTATTAGGTTTTAATTAAGTTACCAACAACAACATTAATTTTAATTTTCTTTTAGGCTACTGAAGAATCCCATCAAGTATCACCTTTGCCCAGTGCTACCACAGAGGTGACAGTCATTGTCACAGATGTAAATGATGAAATTCCAAGGTTCCGTAATGAAAGATATGTTGGAGAAGTATTAGAAAATGCTCAGCAGAATACTCCTATTACCTTTTTAGAAGATGCAATACCAGAAGTGTTTGATTATGATCAGGTACTTTCATTGTTTCATATAATTAATTTATGCTTCTTTGTTCAATTACTGTATTTGGAATCAGAATCAAGTACTTATTAACCTTCTTTAATAAGTCTTCTTAGCTGTTTTCAACAGAGGATAGACTATAACTACAAGTATACTCTTTGACTTTCAGGGTAAAAATGGAACATTTGAACTATATTTAGTAGGAGATAATGGTGTATTTGATGTAACACCATTTAAGGGCATAAATGAGGCATCATTTCTTATTAGAGTGAATGATCCTACTATGCTTGATTATGAAAAGCTAACAGAGATGAATTTCAGTCTAGTCGCCAAAGAAGTTGTTACCAAAGACCCTAAGATGAGGTATGACACCAAATGTACATACCATGTTTTGCATTTTATTACTTATTTTTATGAATTAAAATAAAATATAGTTTTCATTATTAGCCCACTAGCCTTTGAGAGAGTGCTTTTCGGACTATACTCACACATGACACTATATTCCAATAATTTTTAAGAAATTTCTAGTTTTAGAAACTATAATAAGATTTTTTTGTTGCTACATTTTGATAAAAATATAATATTAAAACTAAAATTATTATTGCATATATGTTATTCACTTTATAACAATTCCCATTATGTTACAGTGTTAATGCTCTTTTTATACATTTTAGTATTGTGCCAATAACAGTTCACATTAAGGACGAAAACGATAATTTCCCTGAGTTCACAGAGTCACTGTACACAGTCTCAATACCAGAAAACTGTGGAATAGGAACTACAGTGGCTTGGGTTCAAGCGCTCGACGAAGACTCAGATAATTATGGAACTAAAGGGATCCGATATACAAACCTGAGAGGGAGTGTAGCTCACTTGTAAGTTATTTTTGCTTTTAAAAATGAATTTAAAAACTACTTTACTCTGGAATAAAATTAACCCCAAAGTACAGAAATCAACTGATATAAATTTTTTAATGGATTTAATATTACAAAAATAGTAAAGTTGCTCTATCAGACTGTTGAGATAACTAATTGTGTAATGTGTTCCGTGTTTGGCGTCACCCCATATCGTCGTATGGGTGTGACTATGAGAAAAGCCAGAAAGTTTTGTGGCCTCGGGTAGATGGCGGTAAAATCATTTTGTATAAACATCAACAACAAAGATGCGAGAGGCCTGCTACTGTGATCGACAATTCATCTGTTAGTTAAAAACATACATAATACTATGTAATGAAACGAAAATCGTATATTTACTTTTGTTTTTTAGATTGAACCTTAATGCAGTAACAGGTGTAATAACAGTAAAACAATCAGGCGAGGGTAGTTTCGACAGAGAATTAGTTTCCCGTCACTATCTTACAGTCGAAGCGAGGGATGACCAAGGGAATGGTAACAGGAATACAGCTCAACTTGTGATCAATATACAGGATGTCAATGACAATGCACCAATGTTCCTAGCCAATAAATATGAAGCCAGGCTATTGGAAAATGAAAAGCACTTTGAAAATCCGCTAGTTTTGGAAGCAAGAGATATAGATCTAAATGGTAATTTTTTATTTAAATAATAATATAACTTTTCAGAATTTCGCATAAAGCTAATAATTTTTTATAATATTTCTGTTCCTAAAAAGCTATAGAGCATAAAACGCAATGTACTTCAATGTGACTGTCCACTAAGTTAGCAACAAGTTCTGCTAAGCTTGTAGACTATAAGAATTATACATTCGTAGAAGAATTCGTTTAGTGCTTGTTGCACTAATCATTGACTGCACAATGTAGAACAAAACTTACATGCTTAACACATAATTAGACTTCAAATATTACTACTGCTAATATCAGTTCCACCCAAAAATTATTTTTGGTCGCAAGAAAAACAGAAGTTTTGTTTCCCCTTTCTGAAGTTGAATTTCTACCATTTCGTTCCTTTTTTTAGGCACCATAAATAGTCACATAGAATATTCAATAGTCGGGGGCGATTACAAAAACAACTTTTCTATCGATCCCAATCTTGGCATTATCACTCCAGTTGGTGGATTGGACTTTGAACAGATTCCCGGCGACAATGGGAACATTCGACCGATACATTTAACTGTGAGTATATGATAAAATGCAAACATAAAATATGTGAAAATGTCCGTCACAATGTGCTTTTGATATTATTTTGGCCAATTTCGAAAATGTCAACATCTAAAATACCTGAACAACAGTTAACTGACCACGATTTAAATTTAAATCTAAATGTTCCTGAGAAAAAGGGTCTTGAGACACAGACCAACAACATAGCGTGTTTTTCTGTTAAACTGTGTAAACCTAAAGTTGAAAAAAAAAACAATTTGCTAAGAACAATAAAGAACACACCACCTTGCTTGATAAATGGACTAAATATATGACACTGTCATATAGCAATCAAAATGTTTTAAGATTTGAATCAAAACAGTAGCATACAGAGAAGAATAATTTACTTAAGACTAAATATCTCTTATCAGGTAAAAGCTCGAGACTTCGGAATACCACCACTGTCCTCTACAGTACCTGTGACAATATACGTACAAGATGTGAACGACCACGCGCCTATGTTCCAACAGATGATATATAAGAGATCGATTCCTGAGGATATGCCGGGGGGAACTAGTATTTTGGAGGTGAAATTCTTTACATTATTAATTTTCTTATGTGCACCAAACATACTTTTGCTATGCTGTAATAATTTTCAATCTCTATCTATCACATTGCAAAGTTAAGCATTCATTAATATTTAAAATAATTATTTATTTGATGCTCCCTTTTACTAACCGTATTAACAAAGGAGAAATAAGCGCTTATTTAAATTATTCAAGTTACAAGTAGGTGGTAAGTGGTTGCCGAGCCGCATAACCGGAGTATGGTGAGTGTAGAGAACTGAAGACCGTTTTTACTGGTAAAAAGGAATTCCTTCTTAGTCCTCAGAGGTGACAACGCATCTGCATTTTGATTCTTAATCAATAATAAATGTATATGTCTATAAGCCATAGCATCCACTTACCATTATGTGCTCTTCTGTCACCCTTATTCTATAAAAAGTGGATGTTGTGGCCACTTAGATGGAATGTCTCCTTATTCGTAAAAGTTGTTTCCGGTATTTGTCACTGACTATATGTAACACAAACGCATTACACTGCTACGTTACAATAATATTCTGAGTTAGCGTGGCCCTTCCCCGGTCGAACCTATCCTCTCATACTACAACCGCAATAGGCTGCAGCGTGGATCTAACACGAAAAAAAAACAGAACGGAATATCTTAAAGCAACAGAAACAAGTGATTTTTCTTCCAATAAATCAATGGGCTATTTAGCGTGCCCACTTCTGCTTCTCAATGAGACGATGATAAGTGCTTTATGGTAAAAAAAACTTATGGGGAGATATATCCTTTGATTTTCACTTACTTAATTTAAGTACTAAATATATCAATACTTGTCTCCTTCCATTGTCATTTAGTGAAAAGAGATAGAGCAAGCAAGCATTTCTTTATTCGCTAATGTTTAGGTTAAAGCTCGCGACGCAGACGGTTCGTCGCCAAATAACCGCGTGGTGTACCGCATCCAGCGCGGCGCCGCGGACAAGTTCGTGGTGGGGGCGAACACGGGCGTGCTGACAGTTGCACCCGGTGCCAGTCTCGATCCCGACGTGGCTAGCCCCAAGCGCACCCGATACACCCTCACCGTGGTAACTACTTCTCTTTCTCTTTTCTTAATCAACTTTTAGATGTGATGCTGCAAAAGAATCCACTGCGGGATTGACATGGACTTTTCCATCTGTAGAGATGTTTTAATCGTCACACTGAGTAGACAGACGGATCGACAAAGTAATGACGGCGTAGAAGTGGCTTACCTTTACACCTTTGCAGTCTATCAAGAGTCGACGGCTAAACATAGACCTATCCCACAGATTACCTTATAGGAGGAATATTTGCTATAGCCGCCACGTTTGAGAAGTGTGTTGGCATCCCAGCTTTTTATTTTTATTCAGATGTTATCAGGACGATGCTGCCCATCTTCTGAATCATTTTCTCTCTGACACCTCTTACGACACCCACAGGATGTTTGTAAACCATTCCAAAATTTATTTATTTATATTTTATTTCAAACAATATGTATAATACGTTACGGACTAATTTCTAATAACACGCACTATTTCTTTGTATAGGTGGCCATAGATGGCGGTATAGGTGAACAACAGTTAAGCGCTGCCGTACTCGTCAATATCACAATTGTTGACGTAAACAACAAACCTCCAATATTATATGAACCTGGTACCATTAGTGTGATGGAAAATACACAGGTGAGTTATGACTACATCTGACGTAATCGAAGCGTTGATAAGCAGACATAGCTGTATGATCATTGATATACATTTTTTGTATATCAATGTGTATGACGCGAGTGACACATATACTTACCTGTACTTTTGCGGGCGGTGTCGAATCCCAAACCGAGGACTCTGTATCTAACTGCACCTGAAATCAAACAAACAAATACATTATTATCAAGCACATACAAGAAAAGTATTTTTATGAAGAAATTCTTTTGGAGGATGATTTCTTCTCATCAATATCAGACATGAAGATGGAATAGCACTTCAACGCCTCCTCGTGGTCTAGTGCTGGAGGTCTATGGGAAGCGGCGGTAAAAAGCCTAAAATTCCACTTATGAAGAGTCATCGGAGCACAAAAGCTTACATTTGAGGAGCTATCAATATTGGTGTCACAGCTGGAAGCGTGCCTGAATTCAAGGCCACTGTGTGCCGTGAGCGAAGATCCGGAAGACATCAACTTCTTCACTCCATCACATTTTCTAGCGAGTGGCCCCACCCACTCCATCATAGAAACCGAAAGGGACGAACGCACACGTTGGCAACTTGTACAGAAAATCTTCTGCGACATCTGGAAGAGATGGCAGTCTCAGTACCTGTGCCTATTATCAGCTAGAAGCAAGTGGCAACTGAAGCTGAGAAACATGAATATTGGTGAAGTTGTCGTCATACATGACGTCAACTTACCTCCCGGCAAGTGGGCGCTCGGTAGAGTTGTTGAACTTCACCCCGGAAAAGATGATTCTGATCCGAGTGGTGTCCCTGAAAACTAAAAACAACATTATCAAGAGGCCTATTACAAAAATATCACCGCTTCTATCAGATGAAAGCGTGGATAGCGAGAAAAATTTGGAATCAAGCAATAACCAATCTACAGCAGAAAGCACCAAAGCGAAAAGAACGTGAAGCAAAAAATCAAACAACTTCATAACATTAGCAATGTTCACTTTACTTACCATCATTTCACCCGTTCAGTGTGCATTCAACCTTGAGTCTAAGCAATAATCAGAGCATTTATTTGGACAAAATTTCCAACATGCACCTTGTTAGAGATGCACCTTGTCAGTGGAAACTCATTGTTTACTACGAAATTAATCCGTACTGGCACGTCATTGATTTGTTCCGCAAGTACTTCGATAATTTGAATGACATATGCTCCAAGATATTAAAACGTACAAAATGTGACGTAATGTTGTCGCAACTGCGTCATAAGCCCACAGAACTGGACTACTATCATCATATGTTGCTCGGTCAGCAATACACGCGCTCGAGACGTCAGCGCGGGCTTATCAACTATATACTATATATATATATATATAATCAATCTAATAAGGATGAATCAGAAACATCTCGCTCTTCTATGGAAAAATAAAACATCAGTAGTTGAAGGTGAATACAACCTTTTGAGTCGAATCGAGAAGTCTATGAAGAAGCAGCATCAACAATCTTCAATGACTATATCATAGAGCTAGAAAAAGAAGCCAACATCATAGTAAAAGAAATTCGGACCGAAGAAATCATCAATGAATTTATCCTCTCATCCATGATAGCAAACAACATTTTGGCCAATCTAAAAAACATTCAAGAAACATTAGTGGAGACCATTACAAACATCCACTACGGGCTAATATTTATTTATTAACGCCTGAACAACACAGAACAAAAGTTGAATATTATCTCTGACCAATTACCAAAAGAATTAGCAATGCCTATGAACAATATCCCAAACAATGTATCCAGACTCTATCATTTACTGGAAGTAAAAGCAAGGATGACAAGCAAATAATTTCCGAGATTAAAATCCCGTTGATAAGCAGGGATACCTACGAGATTTACAGGCTTTCCCTCAGCAAGTACAAATACAGATGGCCTGTATCACACCTACCACAGATCATATTGCGATCAACATCCAAAAGGACTCGTACGTACCATTATCGGAAGAAGAAGTTCGAAGATGTACACTTTTCGACGCTGAGACGCACCTTTGTCCGCTACAGAAACCTGTTTTCCATTTGAATTCGGACAATATTCTCTGCATCAAAAATGAAGACATAGATCAGTGTGAAATCAAAACTTCGCCCTGCAAAGATGTATGGGTTGAACTTAACAAACTAAATACGTACCTGTACTTTTACTGTAATCAAAGGACGATAAGAATAATATGCGAGCATCATGTTACAGCTCAACAACTTAGCAAGGCCGGTATTATCATTCTCGAGGACGGCTGTTTCATTAAAAGTGAAACATTGACAATATTTTCACACAGAAAGCAGGTCACTAATTATAATATCAAGCCCGACCTTGCAAAGATAGACACCAATCAATGATGTCATCAATTTCTCTCCAAAGGCGAGTTCGACGAGTCAGAAAATGAGGAGAATCGAAAACACTTGTCAAGTATTGGACACCAAATAGAGCAGCTGAAGACAAGTGATGCTGACACAGAGTTGGCAGATCAGTTATCAAACCACAACTTACATCAATATGTCGTTATTTATCTTCTGCTAGGAGCAGCTATGCTAGCATCAGCATTATTTGCTTTGCCGAGCCTACGCCGCAGACCCGCAGATGTACCGCACGTATACAAGCGCCCTCTGAAATCGAAAGATCAGTTAGCTTGAATGTACAGTTCACTTTCACGAGCCCTAACACAGAGCAAGCACCATCGAACGAGCCCCGCGGTATCGTCGTTTCGTCATCGGATGAACTGAGTGCACGCGCACTGGATAAGTCGACGTCGCCTACAGTTTGCAAATGTTTTAGTGATGTTAGTGCAGTGTAGTGAAGTGTGAAATTTATAAGCTTTTTAAATGAAATTTATAAGCTAATTTTTGTAGTATGATCATCATTATCAATTTGTATCATGTTATAATCACCTATCAATCATCATATGTTCTCTGTCTCTCACCCCGCAGCATGTACGGTCTTTACAAACCGCACATTTCTGCACATCAGCATTTTTACCTTATTGTTTCATTTTTCATTCTCATCATATTCAGTACGCAATCATTTTCCGTCGCGCATTGTACTCACTATCAATAATATCAGAATAAATTTTATAATCAGTTCAAGCCTATATCATTTCTATCAACTTCTAAGATTGTACAGCACAGCAGCTCGTACACCGTCACTAATATCGTATCCTGTAAAGTTGTTATGGTTAAAGGTTCCAGTTCATGCTGTTTTATAAAAGAAAATATTATTTTTTACCTTCAGGTAGGTACAGTCGTCTACCGCGCGCTTGCCCACGACCCAGATGAACAACCTGTATTGCGGTATTCCATTGATAGAAGCGGTAGCCTTGCCAAGAACGAAGACGGTGTACTGATACCACTCTCTGAATATGACTATCTTTCACCGTGGGATTTAAATCCAGTAGATGGAACATTAAGAGTGATACGGTAAGTTAAATTAAATACAACTAAAAGCAGTGAGTTATAATATATTCCATACATACTACTACTATACACATTATATAACTATTTACATTAATACATGGTATAATACATAATACAGTGAACTATTATCTATAATACTATATTAGGTATGTTTCATCATCATCATCCTTCACAAGCCTTTCACAAGTCTACTGCTGAACATAGGCCTTTTACAAGGAATGCCACAAAGCACGGTCCTGAACAACCTGCATCCATCGACTTCCTGCATATCTTACCAGGTCGTCACTCGCATCTAGTGGGGGGACGCCCTACACTCGCCTACATATATTTAAGTTGATTTAATTTAAAAGGTACTAAAATGAATTTTACAGCAATAATACAACGTGTCTCAAATATTCGAATTAATTTTGCGTGTAGCTGACTAAAAACAAAGAAGTTGTCCAAATTATCCAAAGTAAAAGAGTCTGATGTATAGAGAATTATAGGTCCAGTCTGTGCTAGTACGTGAACTACTACTAACCCAAAACACTTTTGATGTGTTTCGACTGATATTATCGCATCGGCGAGTAAACTCTGGAAAACCACCCAATGCTCGCAAATCACCCATCTTCACTTTGAGTGTTGGCTCTTGTCAGAGAGTTGAAGCATTAAGAAAAGGGGTCAGAGGGGCCATGGCCCCTGGCGGCAGCTTTTAGGAAGCGGCATTTTGGTAAAGAAAAGTCAGTTACCCACCTTAACTTTTTTAAATGTCGTTGAAAATATCGGAAATATTTTTGATTGAAATATAATGAACACAGTAGCATCGATAGTTCTGAAATATAGGGATAATCTGCACCACACTTGTCGGGAGCAGGGATATGTATAAAATACAATAAATTGTTTTATTCATATATACTACATATTAATAAAATTGAAGTGGCTGTCAGTAATATCGAAATAACTTGCTTTTATTAAGCTCTGGGGGTTATTTGCATGATAGTATATGTACAGATATGTTTAGGCCAAATATGGTCATTTGAGAGGGCATCCAATCGCCTTCGACTTAGCGAATTGTCCGATGGTGTTAGGTGTCACGCGCGTCGTTGGGAAGGGGCATCGGTATGCAGCTTCCCGGCGTTTGGCGCTCGTGGGCGATTACAGTAGCTTGAGAGCAGCGGTGCGGTCAATTAGCGTATTTTGGTTACCGCTGCATATATTTCGCGCGACCAGTTTTTTGGGTTTATGATCTAGATTTTTAGTATTTGTGCGCGTTGCTTCGCTGCTGAGTTGTGGTTTCGTGAAGACCGTCTTGGTTTGGTTTGTCTAAGTTGTACGTTCGTGACAAGAGGCTTGTTTTGAATTTGAGTGATTAGAGTAATTTCGTTGCAATTGTACCATCGCGTTAAGAGCCTTTTGTGTGTTGACTCTTTAGTTACTTTGCGTGTCAGCTAGGTTGATTTTGAATTCTTGTTGCGGCGTAGTATTTAATATAGTACGAAGGAATTTAGTTGTTGGTTGTAACGCTGAACTTTGTGACTCGTGAAGAGATCGTGTTAGTTCCCTATTTGTAATCTGGTGATAAATGAATCCGGAACCTTGAATATTGAACTTTGAACTACTGTTCGTTACTTGTGTCGGGTATCACGTGTTTGATTTTACGATGGACGTTTAATTTGTTGTAAACGAATTAGTTGAGTTGAAGTTAGTTAAATGTACAATAAAGTTGATAGACTGAAATAGTGATATGAAGAAAGAAGTTGTCACTTTCACTTGGTGACGCCTGCTGGAGTGATGCAGCATTATGGGGCAGCATGGGACCAGGCCGCTGCCCGGTCACCTCAGCTGGGCCAGGTCACATAAATATACACACCACTAAACACCACTTTACATGCACCTACAACTACCTACGGCCTGACCGAGCCTTGGTGCGGTCTTAGCTTCGGATCCAGGTACGTACTATTTATTTGCCTAACTTATTACTATTGTGTAGTATGATAGGACATTCCCCCATAGGCCATTTGGGCCCGAACCCTCGGCTGCCCGTCGAGGAGGCTACTATGGGCCTTAACCTTTGCAGGGGCAGCTGGGGGCCGTAACAAGATATTTTCTCAAATTGCACCTAATTTTCGAGATAATAAAATAAAAAACTTAGTTTAAAGTGGTTGTTCAATTATTCAACAACCACTTGCCCAAACACCAATATTACAGATTGTGGTTTTTTTGATAAAGTTCTATGCGGCATCGCGGGTAAAAGTTAGTTTTCAAATAATGTTCATAGACCTTAGACGACTCTTATTGATTTTACAATTTTAAAGATACTTGTGATGAGTAGCTTTTTAGGCTCTAACGATTCTGGGCGGCAGCGATCGCGACTCATGTTCCTCTGAATGAATCCACTTAGAGTCAATCTTCACAGACGTTCACATTCTATTTTTTACTATTCACAGACTTGTCGACCGAGAGAAAGTAGAAATCGTGAAACTTATGCTAAAGGTTGAAGATATGGCGGCGATAGGAAGTGGTCCAAGGCAAACAGCGTACGCTACTTTAACTATTGTAGTGGATGACGAAAACGATAATAATCCAAGGTTCAGGAAACCGTTCTATAAGACCTCCATTACTGAAAACTCAAAGAATGGAGCTGTCATTGACCATGTTATAGCTGACGATGCTGATAAAAATCGCACCATGACTTATTTCCTTGAGGGTATGTATTTATTTTGGCGACATTTATATCATTAATTCGTTATTAATATGCTACATTTTTAAAAGTAGAGCCACTGTATTATAGCTGCAGCATGCATTCGGTGAGCATCCTCGACTACCTTGGTTTAAGGAGCAAAAATTGGTAGAGAATATGTTATAACTGCAAATGGATTACGTTGGGATACTTGGCTTTCAAAAAGTTTGCCCACTCAATGATAAAAGCCGGTTCCCATAACTGTAAAGTATGGGTCTATTGATGACATTCAGCCTTTATTAATGTGTTAAATTCGAGGGAAAAAGAGAATTATTGATGCGAAATTTTAAGATAAGTAGTTACGATTTAGGAGTTTGTTCAACTGAGTCAGCAAAAATACTGTCATATACTGCAAAATATTTATTTTATACACAACACCAATAGTTCTAGTTCTTCTCATTAAGAAACTTTTAATGTGAACCATTTTTGATGTGTCCTCTCGCTTTCTCGCAATCTGTGAGAGTGATTTCGTGAAAAGGGACGGAAGTGTGTAACAGCAAGCCGGGAAAGCGCGCGCTATTTCAATTTTATAGTAGTAAATTTTGCTGTTATATAAACTAATTTATATGTGCAAACTATATTAATAAATATTTTTACTGTTGATAATAAGTGTCTGAAAAAAGTGAAGATCATTGATAAAAAATGCAAGTGAGGAATAATGAATAATTATTCGTATAAATATTTCAGTATGTAGCTTTTTTAAATTTTGAGGTTAATTTTTTTATTTTGATTAAAACTAAATCTTATTATTTTCATTACAGGTATTCCCTTATCTATCCCTTTCTTTTATAAAATAACAATATTTTGTATAACCACAATAACTTAAAAGTTTCTAGAACATAAACTTTAAATCATGCAAGTTTTCACATTTTTCTTATACAATTTTGCTCTATCTTCTGAATGGGCTATCCGATTTACATAATTCCAATTGGAATATTAGTTCTAGATCGAAACCTATCTTTTGATATTATTGATATATTGAAATATATCTACAAAGAAAAATTCTCATTTTCAACTTACGTCATTAAAGAAAAATTCTAACAACATTAAAAATTCTCTTCAAACTTGCTTTAGTCAGCCTAATTAGATTACAATAGGAAATTCAATAGCAAATTTAATTTATATAGTCTAATTAGGGTAAAATAAACACAATATCCAGCAAATCTCTTTACATCCTAATTAAAAACTTATAAAACTTTCTGACTCGATACGATGACATAAAAACGCGTGAGTAACGATCCTACTAATACTTGCGCTCTGGAGATGGAATCTCGCTGTCGATACTACTTTGACTTTTTACGAAATACAACGTATTGATAATGAGATGTCAGATGTTACACATTATATGCAACTACTGTAAGGCTCGCTTGTTTTTTCAGCTGTGTGTCATAATTTTTTTTCATACCCTATGTATGATGGCGCATATATCTTGTATAAATCACATGTAAAATATTCAGTATTTCAAGTGTTTTTACTCCGCCAACTTGTTGTTTTTATAAATATATTCGCTTATTTTACAATAAATAATTGCGTAATTAACTTTGTTAAAACACATAAACAGGTCCAGAAGAGCTATTAGAACTAGTACACATGGAAAGTGCCACAGGAGAGCTGGTGGTTGCTAACAAAATCGACCACGAAGTGCATTCGTGGATCAATCTAACTGTGAAGGCAGTAGATAGCGGCGAACCACCGCGATATGCTGTTGTCGATCTGTTCATACAGGTAAAAAAGTGATTTTAATATAATAGGTCGGGCAAAAAGTTTCTTCGGTTTGTACAAAATTTAAGAAAAATCTCTTTGGTTGTACTGTTTGTACCTGGCTGGTTTTAATATCAATACATATAGCACAATAAGAAAAAGAAAAATAAAAAACACTTTCCCGCCATTTTTCAATTGTTTTTCTGTCCGCCAAAATGAGTGAATCTAACGAAGAACTTCCATACATTCTAAAGTTTTATTACAAAAAAGGAAAAAATGCGACTCAAACTGCGAAAAAAATTTGTGTGACGTTTATAGACCTAATGCAGTATCAGTAAGAGTAGCACAAAGGTGGTTCAAGCGTTTTCAGTCCGGGAATTTTGATGTCAAAGATGTAGCTCGGCCCGGTCGCCCTCATACGCATAAAATCGATGCCATTTTCGAAAAAGTAAGCATGATCGGCATATTAGTAGTTCTACATAGCCGAGGAATTGAGGATTGACCACAAAAGTTTCGACCCATTTGAAAAAGTCTGGCTATACAAAAAGCGCGATATTTGGGTACCACATGAGCTCACTGAAAGAAACTTAATGAATCGTGTACTCATTTGCGATTCTCTATTGAAACTTAATGAAACGGAACCATTTTTGAAAAGATTGATCACTGATGATGAAAAGTGGATCACCTACGACAAGAATGTGCGAAAAAAATCATAGTCAAAGGGTAGTCAAGCTCCACAGACTGTAGCGAATCTCAGATTAATACGCAATAAGGTAATGCTGTGTGTATGGTGGGATTGGAAGGGCATCGGTTATTATGAGCTTTTACCGCCGAGCAAAACATCGATTCGGATCTCTACTGCTAACAACTAATGAGACTCAAGCAAGAACTCGAGAAAAAACGGCCGGAATTGATCAAAAGGAGTGATCTTTCATCATGATTACGCTAGACCACACACATCTTTGGCCACTCAGCAAAAATTGAGATAGCTTTGTTGGGAAGTTTTAATACATTCACCATATAGTCCTGACCTTGTTCCCTCAGATTTTCACCTGTTTCGGTCTCGTCAAAACTACTTGTCGCATCTTTTTCATCACATTTCATTCACGGCATTATGTCACTACCTATAAGATGGCAACAAGTTATCGAACAAAATGGCACATATATATTATAATTAAATGTATTAAACTTTGAAAAAAAAATGTACTTAAATTTGTATATAAAATACGAAGAAACTTTTTCGCCGACTTTATTAACTCTGGGTGGGATATTTCATGCCTTAAGCACAAAGCGCGTAGGTATGTTCTACTAGCGCCTAAAAATCAAGATTCCAACGTTTCTAAAATCGTATCTAACAATCATATTGAACATATAAATGATATAAAAAGCACATTGTCAGAAAGATAAATAATTTTTGAAGTTATTAATATTTTTTTTAAATCGATTAATTGCTATTTTTACATTAAAAAGCGGTTTTCAAGTCCGCATGGAATGGTAAACACGATAACTTTTGAAAATATCAATTGTTTAACTCAATGTATTTTTTAATCTCTTCATCTATCATGTGGGAGCTCATGGCATGTAAATGGCGGTTTAATTTTGTTTTGTTTAGTTATAATTAATTTTTTTCGGCTGCGAAATTTCGAAATTTTTGGTGTTTTAGGAGACTTGTATTAATTTATTTTACTAAATAGATTGGCTCACTCGCGCACCAGAGTCAACCGCCGTCGTGAGTGGATACTGTATCGGTTGCTTGCAGCGGCTCAAAAAGATCGCTGTACAAATACAAAATATTCGAAAAACCAAATTTCATACATACTTGATTATTATAATAATCAGAGATTTTTATTACAATATTTTAAAAGCATAGAATAAATATTAGTAGTGCGTACTAAAAGTAAGTAGAATGTATATATTTATACTTAAATACGACATGGACTTTATGGAGTGACCTGAATGATGATATGATAATCATATGAGCATTATGAGTCGTGCACTTAGATTTTCCAAACTTTTTTTTTTAAATTGAAGTTTGACATGAAATTATTGGAAAATTGGAAGTATAATAAGGTGATTAGCTTGTGTGTATTTAAACTATTAAAAAATCCGTATAATCATGATATACGTAATTTTTTAATGCGCTTAGGGCATTCACAATTGGATTTGCCAATAGTTTTGTAATCTATTTTTATATATTATACTAAAGTCTATTTTTAAAAATGTGGTGTATGATTACTGTTCATAATATCTATGTAAATACAAAAGTTGAAAAGAAGAAAATGCCTTATAAATTTAAGGCTATTTGTCCTTTCTAAACAAAATTGTTGTGATTAATAAAAAATACTTTGTTACAGTAATTTTGTGTCTGTTAAACGAAATATCTTATCTGCAGGTACTGGATGAAAACGACAATAATCCGATATTTGAAACGTCCTCATTTGAGTATAGAGTGCGAGAAGACATTCAGCCCGGTACACCCGTGGCTGACATCATAGCTCGAGATGCAGATTCAGGGGAATTTGGAAAAGTAACATACCTGCTTGACCGAATGTCCTCACAGGTAAAGTTTTTTTTTTTAATGTAAATACTAGCAAAATGCTATGACTATGATCATTGTTAATATTCACTTATTTTCCTTTATACGTGGTAGAGATAAGCTGCAGAGTACTGTAGCTGCAGCACAAAACCATCAGGTCGAACTGGGAGGACTACTATGCACACTAACTTTTAGTAGGTGGCAGAACTCCCAGTCTGTGTGGGTATGTACCACCACCTTAGGTATTTCTGCCGCCAAATATCATAACTTGCACTATAGTGATACGGTCCGAAGGGTAAAGAAAGTCAATTTAATTACTGGTAGTAAGGAATTCCGTCTTAGTCCTCGTATATTACAACGCATCTATAGTCTGCTTTGCTTGAAGTTGGCTAAAAGTGTCCGTGGACTACAGTAGCCACTCACCACCAAGTGAACTGTAAATTCGTTTGTCACTTCAGTTCTATTAAACCAAACAATTGCAGTATAATGCTGATGTATTTCGTGTGGTTAGTGACAACAACCGGAGATCCTTTTTACTGGTAACGAGGCATTGCAGCTTAGATAATATATCTGCATTTTCATTCTTAATCGCGAATAGATGTTGTCTATGAGCCTCAGCATCTACTTACCGTCAGGAGGACTGTGTTAGTTGTTCAGGTGACAGTGATTCTAATTTTATTTTTTTTTAAAGTTATCGTTAGCCACTCTAATGAGTTTAAAACCCTTGTATTAGGAGTGGTTGGTAATCGAATTGCGGTATAAAACTTACATTTAAATTCGTGTTTCGTAACATATAAGGCTCCTGTCGTTTCCTTATATTTGTCTAAAAATGTTTTAAGTGGCGTCTTTAACGTTCAGAATTGAAACAGTAGGATCTCTAATATGTAAAAAGAAGTCGATTTTATAGAATTTGCATGGAAAAACGTTTAATAGAAACAAAGAAAATAGACCTTTCTTTTTAAGGTCAATCCTGAGCAGTGATCCAGAATTTCAGCTTATTCATATTTAGACTATTTTATGTTATCATTGGTTCCATAATTCTTATGGTGTTTTTGATTGCTAGCGTTAAAGATTTTAGAACGTCTACTTGTCTAACCCCCTTGGCTATTTTACGTCTGATAACTCGGTATTGCAGTGGTTAAGTGTTTGGATACTGTGCTAAGGATCGCGGATTCAAATCCCGCATGAAACAAATGTATATATATATATATATATATATAACCTACAAATAATTGTTCGAGATCTATCTGTTTGTCAAGGTGCGTTTTATTTTTGTAAAACCCCTCCACTATACACTAGAAAAAAAATTAGTGTGGGGATAACTATCAAATTACGAACGTTTAAATAAAATGATCTATACTGCTATATTTCAGAAGCCATGAGATTATCCAGACTGGCCTTCCTACAATGTAAATATTTGCTTCCTACAGTGAACTATTTCTTTTTATTAGCCCTTAATTCTTAAAAAAAGATAAAGAAAAATTAAGGGCTTGTAAAGATAAACACCGGTTTAGAAATTATCATTTCAAATGTTTTAACCTTGCCTATTTATACATATTTCTTAAGGAAATATTTCTGTTTTCACAGGGCAAGTTTCTGATAAAAGCGGAAACAGGAACTCTGACAGTAGCGGAGTATTTAGACCGTGAGACACAGTCGACATATAACCTGGTGGTGGAAGCCTGGGACAACTACCAGTTCGGATACCTAAGCGGGGAAAGCAGGAACGCTTTCAAACAAATTGTGTAAGTTAACTTATAGACCAATAGTCATTATTATCATCAATATGTAGTTTATACGTTTATTACATCTTCATTAAATCATATTTGATAAATTACAATTTCGATTCTTATCAAGGACGATTTGGCGATAATAAATAAGACTGTACCATATCACATCCCTTCAAGACCTATAAATAAAGTAGGCTACAGATGCGCTGTCACAACGTGCGTTGTAGCACGAATGGGTCGGCTCGACCGGGGAAGGACCACGCTCTCACAGAATACCAGCGTAAAATAGCAGCTTAAGAGGAGAACCATTTTACTGGAAAAGAGGCATTCCATCTAAGTCCTCACAGGTGACGACGCATTTGCATTTTGATTCGTTATTGAGGATAGATGTAGATGTCTATGGGTCACAGCAGCCACTTACCATCAGGTGGACTGTGTGCTCGTTTGTCGCCCTATCCTAGGACTAAGATGAAAAGCTTCACATATTGTAATTATACTGGATCTCTTTAATCTTTTGACTGGAACACAGCAGTGCACGCACTGTTGCTTAGCGACAAAAATAAGTAAGAGGGTGCTGCCCACCTAGACGGCCTTATAGATAGAAAACGATACCTATCAGCCAAAACTTGGTGATGGGAAGCGGCAATATCGGCTTGCGTCATACTGGCTAAATTATGTTTTTCCTAAACATTACATGCTCAAACAATGAATTTCTTGGCGCATCCTTGAAGAGGCCTGTGTCTAGCGTAGTACTTACAAAAGCAAAAAATAGAAACTTTTTCTTGGCAACGCATCTGCAATTCCCTCCCTGGTGTTGCAGTTGTTCATGGGCGGCGGTAGTCACTTACCATCAGGTGAGCCGCATGCTCGTTTGCCCCCTCCCCTATAAAAAAAAAAGCTAAAAAAGAATTAAGAACCCGTGTGATTTGTCTGGCGCGTAGTATTGACGTAAAAGTATCCACTACGCCATATCATTTCATGAGAATTTATGAGGCGAAAAAGAAAAATTAAACAGGCAGTAGTGTAAAATAATAAAAAAAAACTGTGGTTGCCAACGACCCTGCCAAGCATGGTTATTATGGCAAAGGCCTTTTTATTTATTTATTTAATTCAAGAATTCTTGTGGTTTACTTAATCTCGCAGCTTTTAGTAGGTCTTGTCAAGAAATTAAAACAGTAATAAAGCCAATTGAATCAATATAATTAAAAATTAAAAATTTTGTACAGCCGACTTCAATATAAGTAATTAAGAATAACTCAATAACTATTGGTCTGACCTTGATCAATTGTCAAAGATTCATATGGGACTACACGAGACGTATCAGCTTTCAAATAAAAAAAGAATTATCGAAATTGGTTCACCCAGTAAAAAGTTATGAGGTAACACACATAAAAAAGTAAAAACATACAGTCGAATTGAGTACCGTCTCCTTTTCGGAATTCAGCAGAAAATATTAATGATTGTACAATATTTAAGAAAGAGAAAGGTTGCAATCATACAATGTCTATGAAATATTTTGTCAAATCAATTAATAATACAATGCCAATGAAAGCTTATAATCCTGATATGCTCAGTGGTGGACTTCTGATGGACTGTAATGAATTAAAAATGCAGTTGTTTATAGTGTGCACGTAGAGGAGAACGACAATGGGCTGTAATGAACGAATTAATGAAAAATGCACTTGTCCATAGCGTACATGTAGAGGACGTGAACGACAATCCGCCCGTACTCAACGTCCCGAGCGAGTGCGCCTCCGTGACTGAGTTCCACAACCACCGCGAGCCCATCGTCGCGGTGTCGGCCAGCGACGCCGACGACAGCACCACGCCCAACGGACGCGTGCAGTTTCATCTTGTCGCTGGAAAGGGGCATGGTGAGTATCCTTAATTATATTGTAGGGTCAGCATAATTCTTCCATAGCTCTCAGCAATCCGCTGCAAAGCTTGGGCCTATGCCGTTGTAGAAATAGATTTTCGTTTTTTTTTTTTACAATTGGACGTTTTGCATCTTTAACGTTGCACCCCGTCACTGATCGGGGTATGTTACATTTCACGTAAACGAGATGATTATATTAATTTAACACCTTTTGCGCCTTTACTTTAAAAAATTTTTGATTAACAATGGTTAATATTCCATTCTAAACGTATTAATTGGTTTTGTTAAAAACCTATTGTTCAACCGTAATTTCAATGCCAAACCAATCTAATTCGTTGAGATGAAGTAAAATGAAATGTGAGACGGTTTCTCAATCTTTATTGGTTCTCTACATGGCTTGATTTGTATTATATTCGTATTGATATGTGGGTCTGATTGAAACTGGCGACGGTTTTGATTGTAGAGCTGTTCCGGTTTGAGCAAGTGGGCGGGGACGCGAACACGGGTCGCCTATTCGCCCGGCAGCCGCTGAAGGATCGGTTCGGGAACTACACGCTGGTAGTGGAAGCGCGGGACCTGGGTCTACCCGTCAACACGGCGCGCGCCGAACTGCGCGTGTGCGTCTCCGACTACAACGATCACGCGCCCGTATTCGTTCATCCGCCGCAAAATGTCACCATCAAAGTGCCCGAGGTAACGTAAACCCTATTTTTCGTTGTTTCTCTGTTTATAACATATAAATGAGTTAACAATTAGTAAGTGGTAGGACTACTTATTTGGTTAGGAGTCTTTCAAATCCCTTTTTGTTCCCCCTTTGCTTCATATTGTCAGAGTTACAGAAACGCATTTAATGAGTAGTGTTGCACGCCACTGTTAATGTCTTGTACATGGCAACACTAGTTACACTAGCGCCCTCTAGTGTCGCGTAGCAGAACTAGGAGAGTCAAGATCCTTCCAGAAATTTCGGGATCGATATGTACTCGAACATTCTAGATGTCGCTACAGTAGAAGGTTCTGGAAACTATCTGAGGCCCTATATAAGGCCGGTATAGACCACGACCGAGGCAGTATTGAATTGGCGATACAAGAGAATACTTCGAAGCGAAATAACTGCGAACTAAAGTGATTGTGTTTATTATTAGTATGGTTTTAGATTATAATTAGTGTTGTGTAATTAAAGTGTCAATTTTGGTAATTCAATCGGCTGTTTTTAATTGTCTCGAACCCCAAGCTCGTAACAATTGGTGTCAGAAGTGGGATCAAATCATGCCTATTTTACCAAAGGACGACATGGAGGGTATCCGTACCCGAAGTCAACGCCAGCTGGAGACGGACCAGAGACGATTTGGTAATGCAACGCCGCAAACGTCGGAGGGCCAGCTGCTGGCCACGGAGGCCGGCCCGTCAGCAGCTCCTGCATCTGCAGCACCTGACTTAGGTGCTCTGATGATGATGCTGCAGGATCATGCTCGCCGACAGGAAGAACAGGTCCGTCGGTTGAAAGAGCAGCTGCAGCGTGGACAGGAGGAACAGGTTCGTTGGTTGGAAGAGCAGCAACCTAATCATCAAGGGCGAAGTCAACGGAACGCCGTGTAAACTGACCATAGACACTGGAGCCTCTCGCACGGTTATCAGTTCCCAACTTATAAGTGGGTTCCTTGGGGACTCCGCATACAACCGAGAACGCATTAATTTGGTGACAGTCACTGGTCAGCGTATGCCCGTCCGTGGAGAGAAGCAGATGGAGTTAAAGCTAGGCAACATGATCTACCTGCATAATGTCATCGTGACTGATATAATGGACGACTGCATCCTGGGCCTAGACTTTATGAGGAAGAATTGTTGTGAGATCGACGTTAAGCAAGGTGTTTTGAAATGTGGACAAGAGGAACTTTTCATGGAAGGGGCGTTACCAGGGAATGTGCACAGCCTTAAGAAGATTGTTCTTCCGCGGAGATCGGAACGGTTAGTCTTCCTCGGAATCCTGGGCAAGCTCATCGTTGTGTACTTGTGGAAAGGGTAGACAATGACCTTCTATGGAAAGTGGCTCGAACCTTGGTCAGAACCACCGACATCTCAGGAGTACGTGTGCTGAACCTTTGTGATCAGGAACAGATTATAGAAAAAGGCACAGTGGTTGGTACTACTGAGGAAGTGGATTGGTTGCGTCGGTGCGAATATCTATCGACTGGGACCCCCAGCAAGGATGGACAAACGAGAATGACCACACTTTTAGAAGACTGTCGCAGCATTCTCTCCCCGAATGAAATGGTCAAGGCGAAGAAGTTGTTACTCAAGTACGCCAATGTTTTCTCGTCAAACGAAGCTGACATAGGAAAGACTGGCTTAGTTCAACACAAAATAAACACAGGAGAAGAATTGCCTATTCGTCAGCGGCCAAGAAGATTGCCTGTAGCACGTGAAAAGGAAGTGGAAACCATGATTGAGGGAATGGTGAACGATGATGTTATTAAACCTTCTTCTAGTCCATGGTGTTCACCTGTGGTGCTGGTAAAGAAGAAGGACGGCAGCATGCGGTTTTGTGTTGACTACTGCCGCCTGAACGACGTTACGAAGAAGGACAGCTATCCCTTGCCAAGAATTGATGACACGCTGGACATGCTCACAGGCGTAAAGTGGTTTAGTACGCTGGACCTGAAAAGTGACTACTGGCAGGTTGAAATTGACCCTAAGGATAAGGAGAAAATTGCATTCTCCATAGGAAAGGGTCTGTGGCAATTTAAAGTCATGCCATTTGGATTGTGCAATGCTCCAGCAACGTTTGAAAGATTGATGGAGCTTGTACTTACCGGGCTAATTGGAGATGCCTGTCTGGTCTACTTGGATGACATCATCATCGTAGGCCGTACGTTTGAGGAACACCTTCAAACCCTGGAACGCGTGCTCATGAAGATCCAGAGTGCCAACCTCAAGTTGAGTCCGAAGAAGTGCTCACATTCAAACGGCAAGTTAGCTTTTTGGGGTATGTAGTGTCGGAAGAAGGTATCCGCACGGATCCAGAGAAAATTGCCGCTGTCAAGGAGTGGCCGGTTACAAAAGACAAGACACAGGTTAGAGCATTTTTGGGTTTGTGCTCTTATTATCGGTGATTTGTGAAGAGCTTTGCAGATATAGCCAAACCACTGCACAAGCTAACCGAGGAGAAGCGACATTTCTGCTGGGATGAAAGTTGCGATATTGCATTCCAGGAGCTCAAGAACCGTCTGTGCAAAACACCTATTTTGGGGTACCCTGATGCGGGCAAGGAATTCATAGTTGACACAGACGCAAGCAAGGACTTGACGGTGTGTTATCTCTACGGAATGGTGATCAAGAGATTGTGATAGCGTACTTCAGCAAATCGTTGTCAAAGCCGGAAAGGAACTATTGTGTCACAAGACTGGAATTGCTTGCTGTGGTAAAGTCCTTGCAGCATTTTAGCAAATATCTTCTGGGGCGGAAATTCCACTTACGAATTGACCATGCTGCACTGAAATGGCTATTGCAGTTCAAAAATCCGGAAGGACAAGTTGCGCGATGGATTGAACTACTGCAGGAATACGACTTTGTAATCGAACATCGCAGCGGGAAATCTCTTCATTCAATCAAGAAGGAATTGCCCTGAAGATTGCAAGCATTGTACTAGTCAAGAGGGTAAGGAAGTGGTATCTGTGAGGATGCTCAGGAAAGACCAGCTCAGCAATGAGTGGAAGGACAGCCTACAACATGCACAGCAGGAAGATTCGGACATTGAGCCGATTCTGGAATGCATGAAGGCCAGTGCTCCTAAGCCCAAGTGGAGCGACGTCTCAGCGATGAGTTCGACCACGAAAAGCTATTGGACCCAATGGGACAGCTTGCTGATTCAGGATGGAGTTCTGTGCCGTAAATGGGAAAATGGTCGGGGAGACAGTTGTCATTTGCAAATGGTTGTCCCTAAGGCTAAAGTACCGGATGTTCTACAGCTTTACCATAGTGGTTGTTCAGGAGGCCACCTGGGAGTTAAACGAACTCTACTGAAGATCCGAGAACGGTTTTACTGGGTCCACTGTCGTGCCGATGTCGAGGACTGGTGCCGCAAATATACAAGTTGTGCGGCTGTAAAGGGACCTCAAATTCGTAGTAGAGGCGCATTGAAATTGTACAATGTTGGTGCACCATGGGAGAGGATAGCCATTGACGTTGCGGGGCCGTTTCCGGAAAGTGAAAGTGGAAACAAGTATTTCATGGTTGTGATGGATTACTTCACTAAGTGGCCAGATGTCTTCGCCATTCTAAATCAAGAAGCTTCAACAGTTGCAAATAAACTAGTTCATGAAGTCTTCTGTCGTTTTGGAGTACCCTTAGAGATTCACAGCGATCAAAGAAGGAATTTCGAGTCTCAAATATTCCAGGAAACTTGCAGAGTTATGGGTACTCATAAAACACGAACACCTTCTTACCACCCACAATCTGATGGAATGGTAGAATGATTTAATCAGACATTGGAGAGGTACCTGGCAAAAGTTGTGGAAAACCGGCAACGAGACTGGGACAGGCACATACAACCGTTTTTGTTGTCATATCGAAGCGCTGTTCACGAAAGTACATCAGTGACGCCAGCTTTCGCAAACTTTGGGAGAGAATTACGGCTGCCTGAAGACCTGATCACCGGAATACCACCTGATGCCCCACGCTGTATAACCGATTATGCAAATGACTTGCGGAACAAAATGAATGACATTTATGAGCACGTCAGACAGTCGGGCCAGCAAACGTCTGAGAAGATGAAAACACGGTATGACCGCAAAATGAACAACAAAGGTTTTGACGAAGGTTCACTAGTGTGGTTACACAATTCAGCTCGCAGCAAATGGAAATCTCCTAAGCTTCAAGCTAAACGGGACGGACCATACCGGATTGTGACAAGGATCAATGACGTAACCTACCGGATACAGAAAGGTGCCAGAAGTACTCCTAAGATCGTCCATGTGGATCGACTGGCGCGATATTATGGGACCAATAATGCTCGGGACGAGTATGTCTTAGGAGGGGGCAGTGTTGCGCGCCACTATTAATGTCTTGTACATGGCAACACTAGTTACACTAGCGCCCTCTAGTCTCGAGTAGCAGAACTAGGAGAGTCAAGATCCTTCCAGAAATTTCGGGATCGATATGTACTCGAACATTTTAGATGTCGCTACAGTAGAAGGTTCTGGAAACTATCTGAGGCCCTATATAAGGCCAGTATAGACCACGACCGAGGCAGTATTGAATTGGCGATACAAGAGAATACTTCGAAGCGAAATAACTGCGAACTAAAGTGATTGTGTTTTATTACTAGTGTGATTTTAGATTATAATTAGTGCTGTGTAATTAAAGTGTCAATTTTGGTAATTCAATCGGCTGTTTTTAATTGTCTCGAACCCCAAGCTCGTAACAGTATCATAATTTTACTAAATACTGTTACTGGAGTCGAGTAACTAGTACTACTAGCTTGTGTCTGTTCCTAGTATTTACAAAATGAATATCTCTTAGTTTTTGTATAACTATTTTTATTTTTGTGTACGTATTTTCATAAATAAATTGAGAGAGATTCCTGATAAAGTATACTGTTCAAGGGACATTGCGCTGGTGCCAGGCCCTGAGAATCCTGTAACAGCAAGCGTCCCAGCTAAAGTAAAGAAGAGGTTGTGTGTCAATTCTAAATACAAGGAAAGCATAGGGATGATAAAGGTCACAACAATGCCGAAGATTTGTCAAGGAGAACTTGCTCTAAAAACTCTAGTACACAGTGCAGCATGAAACCGGACTCAGCAATATATTAGCAAAACTAAATATGAGACTAAATTCGTTTTAATCGAAGAACAAACACTAATCGATTTTATGTGGGAACTTTCGTATGTTTGCATAATCCTCAGGAAATAGAGTAAGAGGTCGAAGTTGCAAGCTCGATGGGAAGGACCTTATAAAATGGTTAAAAGGATTGATGATGACACATACCGCATCAAGAAAGGGCATAGGGGAAATCCGAAGTTGGTACATATTCATAGACTAGCACGATATCATGGCACGAGTGATGATCGCGACGATCATATTTAGTTGTGAGGTAGTGTTACGACAGCCAATTGTGTATTGCGTCACATGGCACGAAAATGTTTCCGACGTTAAGTGTCGATGGCTATCAATAATCAGTGGCCTTTGTAAAGTAATACATAGGCTGCACTAAAAGTATCGGGAATGGAATATTTCCACTGTTCCTGTCATATTAAATTTTTTTTAATTGAAAAGTCCTTGGTTTTAAAAATCGAATACCATTTATTTATTTAAAAAAAGATTCTCGGTCTTGTCACAAGGTTTTGTCTAACTTGTTTTGTCGTAGAAATTGTGCAACGACGAGGATTTTCCTATTACTGCCTAATGTACCGCGAATTTGGTGATTCTAATTTGACTCATGGGCCCCGGGATATTGAACCTTTGCAGGGGCAGCTGCGGGCCGTAACAATTACGATGTGACTATTAATGCCAAGCAAGAAGCAATTATGTCTAAGGTAATAAAGCCTTTTCTTCTTTGCATATTTTATCGTTAAAACTGTTAACTTTCCGGTTGTTAAAGAGTGGAATAACCTGGATTGTCCTAAGAAGTTCTATATTCCTTTTATCGAGTTTAAAAGCGTGTGCCGGCGATCAGAGATTTAATATTTTCGGGAAATAGAAAGTGAATTCTACTCCGAGAAGCAACTACGAGCAATCGACTTACGACATCTCCGATTATTATTTTGGATGACGTAAAAAAGAAGACGTAAAAAATCGAAATTTTTATTTTTATCTAACAGAACGCGACAGTGGGTACGACCGTAGTGGAGGTGCGCGCGATCGATGCGGACATCGGGCCCAACGGCGCCGTGCGTTACCGGCTGAAGCGCGACGCGGGCGGCGCCTGGCGCGCCTTCGCCGTGCACGCGGCCAGCGGCTCGCTGCGCACCGCCGCGCCGCTCGACCGCGACCTGCGCACCACCTACCAGGTACTGCTCACGTCGTACGCTACAGGTACTGCTCACATCGTACGCTACCGGCTGAAGCGCGACGCGGGCGGCGCCTGGCGCGCCTTCGCCGTGCACGCGGCCAGCGGCTCGCTGCGCACCGCCGCGCCGCTCGACCGCGACCTGCGCACCACCTACCAGGTACTGCTCACGTCGTACGCTACAGGTACTGCTCACATCGTACGCTACCGGCTGAAGCGCGACGCGGGCGGCGCCTGGCGCGCCTTCGCCGTGCACGCGGCCAGCGGCTCGCTGCGCACCGCCGCGCCGCTCGACCGCGACCTGCGCACCACCTACCAGGTACTGCTCACGTCGTACGCTACAGGTACTGCTCACATCGTACGCTACCGGCTGAAGCGCGACGCGGGCGGCGCCTGGCGCGCCTTCGCCGTGCACGCGGCCAGCGGCTCGCTGCGCACCGCCGCGCCGCTCGACCGCGACCTGCGCACCACCTACCAGGTACTGCTCACGTCGTACGCTACAGGTACTGCTCACATCGTACGCTACCGGCTGAAGCGCGACGCGGGCGGCGCCTGGCGCGCCTTCGCCGTGCACGCGGCCAGCGGCTCGCTGCGCACCGCCGCGCCGCTCGACCGCGACCTGCGCACCACCTACCAGGTACTGCTCACGTCGTACGCTACAGGTACTGCTCACATCGTACGCTACCGGCTGAAGCGCGACGCGGGCGGCGCCTGGCGCGCCTTCGCCGTGCACGCGGCCAGCGGCTCGCTGCGCACCGCCGCGCCGCTCGACCGCGACCTGCGCACCACCTACCAGGTACTGCTCACGTCGTACGCTACAGGTACTGCTCACATCGTACGCTACCGGCTGAAGCGCGACGCGGGCGGCGCCTGGCGCGCCTTCGCCGTGCACGCGGCCAGCGGCTCGCTGCGCACCGCCGCGCCGCTCGACCGCGACCTGCGCACCACCTACCAGGTACTGCTCACGTCGTACGCTACAGGTACTGCTCACATCGTACGCTACCGGCTGAAGCGCGACGCGGGCGGCGCCTGGCGCGCCTTCGCCGTGCACGCGGCCAGCGGCTCGCTGCGCACCGCCGCGCCGCTCGACCGCGACCTGCGCACCACCTACCAGGTACTGCTCACGTCGTACGCTACAGGTACTGCTCACATCGTACGCTACCGGCTGAAGCGCGACGCGGGCGGCGCCTGGCGCGCCTTCGCCGTGCACGCGGCCAGCGGCTCGCTGCGCACCGCCGCGCCGCTCGACCGCGACCTGCGCACCACCTACCAGGTACTGCTCACGTCGTACGCTACAGGTACTGCTCACATCGTACGCTACCGGCTGAAGCGCGACGCGGGCGGCGCCTGGCGCGCCTTCGCCGTGCACGCGGCCAGCGGCTCGCTGCGCACCGCCGCGCCGCTCGACCGCGACCTGCGCACCACCTACCAGGTACTGCTCACGTCGTACGCTACAGGTACTGCTCACATCGTACGCTACCGGCTGAAGCGCGACGCGGGCGGCGCCTGGCGCGCCTTCGCCGTGCACGCGGCCAGCGGCTCGCTGCGCACCGCCGCGCCGCTCGACCGCGACCTGCGCACCACCTACCAGGTACTGCTCACGTCGTACGCTACAGGTACTGCTCACATCGTACGCTACCGGCTGAAGCGCGACGCGGGCGGCGCCTGGCGCGCCTTCGCCGTGCACGCGGCCAGCGGCTCGCTGCGCACCGCCGCGCCGCTCGACCGCGACCTGCGCACCACCTACCAGGTACTGCTCACGTCGTACGCTACAGGTACTGCTCACATCGTACGCTACCGGCTGAAGCGCGACGCGGGCGGCGCCTGGCGCGCCTTCGCCGTGCACGCGGCCAGCGGCTCGCTGCGCACCGCCGCGCCGCTCGACCGCGACCTGCGCACCACCTACCAGGTAATGCTTACGTATGCTACAGGTACTGCTCACGTCATACGCTACGGGTACTGCTCACGTCGTACGTTACGAGTACTGCTCACGTCGTACGCTACGGGTACTGCTCACGTCGTACGCTACGGGTACTGCTCACGTCGTACGCTACGGGTACTGCTCACGTCGTACGCTACGGGTACTGCTCACGTCGTACGCTACGGGTACTGCTCACGTCGTACGCTACGGGTACTGCTCACGTCGTACGTTACGGGTACTACTCACGTCGTACGCTACGGGTACTGCTCACGTCGTACGCTACGGGTACTGCTCACGTCGTACGTTACGGGTACTACTCACGTCGTACGCTACGGGTACTGCTCACGTCGTACGCTACGGGTACTGCTCACGTCGTACGCTACGGGTACTGCTCACGTCGTACGCTACGGGTACTGCTCACGTCGTACGCTACGGGTACTGCTCACGTCGTACGGTACGGGTACTGCTCACGTCGTACGCTACGGGTACTGCTCACGTCGTACGCTACGGGTACTGCTCACGTCGTACGGTACGGGTACTACTCACGTCGTACGCTACGGGTACTGCTCACGTCGTACGCTACGGGTACTGCTCACGTCGTACGCTACGGGTACTGCTCACGTCGTACGGTACGGGTACTACTCACGTCGTACGCTACGGGTACTGCTCACGTCGTACGCTACGGGTACTGCTCACGTCGTACGCTACGGGTACTGCTCACGTCGTACGCTACGGGTACTGCTCACGTCGTACGCTACGGGTACTGCTCACGTCGTACGGTACGGGTACTGCTCACGTCGTACGCTACGGGTACTGCTCACGTCGTACGCTACGGGTACTGCTCACGTCGTACGGTACGGGTACTGCTCACGTCGTACGCTACCAGGCACTGCTCACGTCGTACGCTACAAGTCTTCTACCTTTTAGACTAGAACGCTATTGCTATTTCTATTTGGCGACAGAAAAACATAAGAAAGTGGTACTTACCTAAGCAGTCAAATACGTACAACTCACGTTACGCTTTTATAATATTAAAGAGACAAAAAGTCCACCTGTTGATAAATATTTACTGTAACCCATGTACATATACCAATCAATTTTAAACAAAAACGGTCTACTTGTACGCTTTCGTTCTGTTCTAGGCTTACATTAGCATTCTGTTAGAACGTGGTACTTCCCTAGTCTGCCGACCTATTCGTAATGTATCCATTATTTGCAGCAGTACTATTATTATTATTACATTATTTACTACAACGTACCACTTCTACCACTTACACAAATGACCCGAGAGAATGAATAGAGATATACAAACTAAGTATTATATGTTCCTAACCTTTTTTAATTGATAATTTTTTTATAGCTCAGAATCGAAGCTTACGACCTCGGCCTCCCGACCCCACTCAGTTCGGACCTAGATCTTACTATATACGTGCAGAATGTGGACAACTACCGACCCCGCTTTCCTGATAAAGAAATCTTCATTAATATCACCGAGAATGTACAAGATTATGGAGTGTTTTTACCTAATGTGGTGGAAAGAGATCCAATTGATAGGGGGGATGAGCCAATACTACCGGTTTGCTATTACATAGTAGAGGGAAACGAGGATGCAATGTTCGAACTGGACAGAAGCACTCACAGGTAATTGTATAATTTTTTCAATTGTTTAAGTTCGTTTGTAATTAAATGCAGAAAGCGAATCAAACTTTGTTGTTTGACACTAAATAAAATTTCCTTGTTACGACGTTTTCTATTGTTACACTTGGTAGGCGGATTGTTTATATATTGTTGCGCGCCACTATTAATGTCTTGTACATGGCAACACTAGTTACACTAGCGTCCTCTAGTGTCGAGTAGCAGAACTAGAAGAGTCAAGATCCTTTTATAAAATAATCATTTATATAAGTAGGTACAGCTAAATCACCCTGGAAAACCTTGGTCTTTATTAAATTATATTTTCACCTAATAATAACATTTGTAAATATGAAACAATCAAGAACCTTAATTTGGAAAAAAATAAGGTTTATGATTCTCAATGAATCATAAACCTTATTTTAGGTATTTAAGGTTTATGATTCATTGATATTTACAAATGTTAAATATTATTTAATGTTATACAAATGTAAAGTAAAGTCGATCTGAAAACGTCTAATTAGTAAGAATAGCAAAACAAGTGTTTTCAAAAGGAAAAAAACGCCGGCGCGTATAAGGCGGCGGATTGACAAAAGACTATTTATTAGCGAACTTTTTTTATGCATGAACGGTTTCGATATGTTTCAATCAAAAATAAACCATGTGCTCTAGTGATATGGTATACCATATCACAAGAGCACATCGTTTATGCACATGGTTTATGCACATGGTTTATGCACATGGTTTATGCACATGGTTTAGGCACATGGTGCTCTTGTGACATGGTATGCCATATCACAAGAGCACATGGTACTTCGTAGGTCTATTCGGCCATATGATAGTAATAAGACGACAGTTCAACCATTTTAAGCAAAATTAAACAATAAGACAAACGCATTGTTTTTTTTTTAACAGGAGACTTGTTTTTCAGAAATTTATTTACAACTTGAGTTTGTGAGCGATCGCCACGAGTGCTATTGTTTGTTACTTATTAGACTATTTTTCCACAACATGATTTAAAACCCACAAAGTAAATAGAGTACTATGCACAAGTTAAAAAAGGTTGTCAACCCCTAAAAATTTCAAATTTTCAAAATATCCAGAAACGAAGCTGCCGGCATGAAGTACTTGCAAAATAATGAATATTTTGTTCTGGATAAATCTTCCAAAAAAGCAATTTGAGCCTCATACGCGTCTCTATACTCGCGTGTCATACGCCACACACATAAGTAATTGATGACACGCCTGACGTGCCACCCACACTGAACTGGATAATTTCCGTGTGGTGGCAGTGTAAGAATTTCCACTATCGCATATCGTTCTGTGAGGTCGTAAGAAGCGACAGAGGGTTTCACTCTGTTATTTATAGAAACAAACAAGATGCGCAGCAGTTTCTGCCTAATAACAACTAAAAAATAAAAACTGCGTTCGCCAACCAGCAACATGGCATCATAGCAACTGTGAAAAATATCCCCCCTACTAGGCAATCTATGGGGGATATTCAACAGTGAACTTTGATAGGCTGTTACTGTAATGGTAACATAATTAACACTTAGGACACCCACGGAATGAGATGGAGAAAATGGATTCGCCTACGCCACCACTACGCAACGCTTATACATGATGTTCTAAAAAGCCCTAAATTAACAGACTATCAACATCAAAGCCGTTGGATCGGGAACAAAAATCCCAATATACACTCACAATATTGGCATCCGAAGACTGTGTGGTCAAACCCACATACGAGGAGACAACAGACGCCATCAGTTCCCTCAAAGTGCTCGTCAAGGTTGAGGACGTGAACGACAACGCACCTAAGTTTGTAAGCGATATATTTACCGGAGGAATAACTACGGAAGCCGACTTTGGGATTGAGTTTATGCATGTAAAGGTAAGGATACAACGATTATAATAACCTTAATTTTAAAATAAGTTCATTACAGATATTTTTCATTATTTACTTCTGCAAAAACATTTCGTTAATTTAATAAATCTTGTTTAAAAAAAAATTATTTTTCATTCTATTAAGACTTATTAAAAGCTCCTTAAACCTCATAAATCTACAATTGGTTCAAAAGATAGTTCGATTATACATTTATAGTAATTAAATGGATTTATGAATCTTTAAACACTCTTAGAATGTGTTGAATCTTTTATAAAAAAATAACGGTTCTATGACGCCGCATCTAGAGTAACGGCGTATACGCACTATGCGGCTACCTTCAGAGACGGTGGACCCCAAGCGAAAAAGTTTAAATAAAAATTATTTCTATTCGCACTGCGATGCGGCTGCAATCAAACCGTTCCGATCACTCGGAGATCTGCGGTTTGACTGCCGGATAGGCGTGTGTATCTCTTTACGGAAACGACTCACTGATCCGAATCACTGAAGTGTCACAAAAGATTGGTTCAGTAACAACATTTCAAATGTATCATTTGGATCTGGAACAGTGAAACATTACTTTGCTCTTTGCTCATTTCGCGCGACGCGTCGCTTGCGAGGCGACTGAGCCACGAGCGAGAGAGACAGACTGAGACAATGATTAACTTAACTATTGACTCACGAGAGTGGCGAGTGAGCGGGCGAAATAAATATAATCCACACAAGTCAGATAGAGATAACAAATAAGAAGTGTATCACTCAACTCGTACGAATTTTCGCTGACGTTATTCATGCAAATAAAAATTACCACTAAGGCGCTTATGTGTCAAATACTATACGGTCGTTTTTGTATGTAATGTTTGCATTAACAAGTTGTCATTTTACGTTGATGCGGCACTTGTCAAATTGTTTATATTCATTAGCGCCTGTTTACGAAAACATACTAAGTTATGTTTAGGATTTCTTTGCGTAGTGATTATTGTGAATTTACTTTCTTCCTTTTCATATTAAAGTTTAGAGTTATAATACTTTGCGAGAAAATTCTGTGTACATAGACATTGCTGTTTTGTGTAAATGGACATTTTTGTAAATAATGAATTGACATAGTGACATTTTTGTTAAAGTATGAAGGAGAATCGATTTTATATGCAAACTTATTACGGTACACAATAAATAATCTAAGCACTTATATTATTCAGCATTGTTGCCACATAACATTTCACGGATCGGTCAGTAATAAACGCCCGCGACGCAACTTAATGTATTCGGAACATTCTTTCTTTTATATCTTTTGAGTCGATGATACAAATGAGCCAAATGAAACATATCAGTGTTTCGGAACATTTCAGTGATCAAGATGCAAATGTTCCAATCCCAAAAATGATACACTTTGCCCACCTCCACTGCCGGATAGCCGCGAGGTTTAACTTGCAGTTATTCGTCATCAAGTTATGTGCATGCATACGTACAAACAAATGCAAGAAATAATGATGCACCTCGTACACATCTCTTTCTCAATTTTTTTCTTTTTAATGACCTCGATATTTCAACGATTATTCAACTTCATGTGCGATTGCGACTAATCGCAATTCGCTTAACCGCAAGTTCTACCGCTGTACGTGGTTGTCCGCAGCATGAAATTAACTGCAGTAATGCGTATGTGCTCTATGGAGTGCCAAAAAAATGCTAGCAAATGTCCACCTTATTTAGCTGATTTTTTGTAACGAAGTTCCTTATCGCACGGTCCGAATTTGACGGATGGGGACTAGGCGAGAAAGTGTAAGAATTTTCCGTCACGACCCCCTTTCTATACGTCAAAAGTGCGAGCGAGATGGAGTAATAATCATCTCTGATCATGAAAGAAATATTATTTTAAATGACGCTTTATTTCAATAGACGCTAGTAATTCATATATTTGAATTTGTCAATCAATAATATAATACATTAATCAATAATAATATACTACGAAAGGAACTTCATTCCAATCGAGTGTTCCACGACACTCACGCATGTTTTTATTTAATGCTTAAACATTTCTACAGGCTGAAGATATAGACGAAGGCGATAACGCAAAAATATCCTATTATCTGTTGGGAGATGTAAAAGAAACCTTAACAGAGGGCTTGGAAAACTTAGCGGTTTCGCCGTTCCTTGTGAACGTCGAGACTGGTGCCGTCTCGCTTAACTTTGACCCGCAGAAGGGGATGAAGGGATACTTCGATTTTAAGGTAACAATGTATTTACATTTTTGTCGTAGTTTATCAACAAGGTTTTTCATGATTAAACGAAAGTGAATTCATAAAATATGGAACACTTGTGGAAATTTCACTGGTATTAGATTGTGTGCATTCAGAAAGATAAAAATATCACTAATTATAAAAATTTTGAATAATATGAGAATTACTATATTATTACTCTCAGTTCCAGAATTGAAGTAACGGAGACATTGTTCCGAAATTCCGAAATTTAAGGAGTTTCCAGCACTATTCAAATTATTAATTTTAGTATTAAGTGATGTTTTACCGTACGTACTTGGCAGTTAAAGGTTTTCCTTTACCGCCAAGTACATACTATTTCATAAGGAAACCTGTGTGTCTGAGAAATAAAAAATATTCCACAAATTTTTATTATTAAAAATTCACTTGGGCCAGCGCCACGAACTCCTGTTTCTACTAAAACTTTTACAGAAATGAGAGAAATCCTATACCCAAATGTAGAATGTATCTAAAATGTTACTTTATTACCTAACTTTTACAGGTATTGGCGAACGACACTGATGGATACCAAGACGAGTCCCATGTTTTCATATATCTGCTTCGCGAGGACCAACGCGTACGTTTCGTTTTACGTGCGCATCCATCAAAGATACGAGATAGAATACAAGTTTTTCGCGAAATACTCGCACGTGTAACAGAATCCGTTGTAAATATCGACGATTTACGAGTGCACGAGAACAAAGATGGTTCCGTGGATAATACTAAGACGGATCTATACTTACATCTGGTGAATAAGGAGGACCATTCTGTACTCGAAGTGGAACAGGTTTTGAAACTCGTTGATAAGAATATAGAGAAACTTGATGATCTTTTTAAGGTATATTATTATATTTTAATAATTAATATTAAAAACTTACACATTTAAAAATTTTGCGACTTATTGAAAATCATTTCATTTTTCAAAATTCATATCCGATTTTACCTTATATGTTCCTAATATATTACAAATACCTTTGACTCCCGTTATTTTATTAGTATTAAAAAAAAGATTACACCAAAGAATGTTATAAACAAGTTTTTTATTTTAATTCCTTGATCCTAACATTATATTAATGACAATGTCAAATAAATTTTAGGAGTTTAACGTGCTGGACACTCAACCGGCTGAATACCAGCCTTTGACCGCCGAGGGCCTGACCACAAACCAAACGGTATATTGGCTTGTGTGGACGACTTTGTTCTTGTCCCTTTTATTGGTGCTCGCCTTGATGATATGCCTGTCACAGAGAGCAGACTACGTAAGAAAACTGAAGGCTGCCACGGCCACTGCTTACTGTGAGTTTGACATCCTAATTATAGAAACTCGTTGGAACTTTCCTACCCCAAAATATGTTACTAGATAGTAAGGTAAGGTTTTTATACGTGGTAGAGCCATGCTGCAACTATATTAATATTATAGTTGTAGCACGAATGGGTCGGCTCGACCGGGGAAGAACCACGCTCTCACAGAATACCAGCATAAAATAGCAGCTTAATGCTGCTGTGTTTCGTATGGTGAGTGTAGAGAACCGGAGACCCTTTTTGGAACAGAGGCATTCTATGTTAGTCCTCACGGCTGACAGCGCATCTACATTTTAATTCGCAAACGAAGATAGATGTAGATGTCTATGGGTCACAGCAACCACTTACCATCGGGTGGAATGTGTGCTCGTTTGTCACCCTTATCCTATAAAAAAAGGTATTTTTCTGTCTGAAGATCCGTCTGGGTTAGTTTCTTTTTTATATAGATAAGGGTGACAAAAATATCTATATTTATCATCGATTAAAAATCAAAATGCAGATGCGTTGACACCTCTGAGGACTAAGATGGAATGCTACAACCGTAATATAGCTGCAGCGTCTCTACCATATCATCCTCTTCCTGGTCTGAAGAACGATAATTAAGACAGACAATCAATCGTTAACCTGAAGGGTGACAACGCAACTGTGGACATCTTTTTTGAAGTTGATTGCTAGTATGAAAGGGCTGCAATAGACACTTACCATCAAGTGGACCTTCTTTGTTTGCTTGTTTGTGAAGGTTGTTTAATATAAAAAATTAAATAATATAGATTACAATTTTTTCAATTATTTTTATTGTAGAAGGTAACGAACACATTTCAACTTAATTATTTCGTTCATTAACTTCCTATAATTTTCCTTTTTTCTTTTTATAATGTAATATACTCATTAAAATTATCTCAAACCTCATTTTTAGTAAAGGTTATATTTATTTCACTATTTATTTTAATATTTTTTGAATTTAGCTTCACCGACCCCCGGCGAGTCGAACTTGACAATACGCAGCTCCGGCGGCAGAGTGCCAAACACAAACAAACACAGCTCAAAAGGCTCGAATCCAATCTGGCTGCAAGCGTACGAAAACGACTGGTACAAGTCCGACGACCAACTGAGTCGCTCCGAACGCGACTCCCTCGACGAGAATGCAGTGAACCAGGACCTCTCCAACGACAAACCATATTTTATAACCACCGGCGCGTTCCCCTCCATACAGTCCAGCGAAACGGACACACAGAACAACCAAGCCGATTGCGATTTCTACCAACAATTGGAACAGATGAAAAACGCCAAGAACATGGAAACAACTGAATTGTAATTTATGTATGAAGTAGTTGATCGGTTGGTTTAGTACATACATTACTAATTAAAATAAGTATATTATTTATATTACTAAATGTGCAAATTAATGTTTGATTTCACATTGAAACCTAATTAAAAAAAAAATATTGTATTGTGTTCATAAATTAATGTTCAAAGTTTTGCAATCGACGTTTTAGTTGTAAATTGAAGCGTGATGCTGGCTTTCATTTTGGATTTGTATTTAACAAGGGTTTGTAATGCAATAAATAAAAATTAACCTTCGATAACCTTGTATATAGTACATTTTAGCTCAACTAATCCAGACGCATCCTTGTCGGTTAATTTTTGTTTTATTGGACAGAGGCTAAAATAAAAGTAAATTATACGCATCTGTAAAATTTGTTCCTTGATTAATAAGTAGTAATTTGGATGTTTATCTTTGTGCAATTTGTGCATGTAACCAGCCTCCACGATTTAGGAGAACATCCTAGTAATAATGTCAGTAGTGTTCAATGGATAAAACATATTATGTGGTCTATATTGTCTTTTTAGGGACGATTCAGACCTGGCGGAGCGTGACAAAGCGCATTTTACGAACAACAGTCTATCATCTGAGGGGCGCGTTAATTGCGTGACAACGATCCTGCAGCCGACTGCTTTCTGTAAAATGCGCAAGCGGTCCAAGGGATTTCTAGATTCTATTACAAGCAAATATGAATTTAAAAACATTCTTTTATTCCATCGTAAAATTCGCTACGACACATTCCGAAAGTACCTTGTTAGTAATATTGCTGTTATTTTTTAAGAACAATAGTAGATATAGATTTAATTATGTGCACGTATAAGTTAGTGTATGGCGGCACCTTACATAGGTGGTTGAAGGAACATAACTTCTAACATGTCAAACATATGATATTAATAAATATCTATGTGTGTCAATTTACAAGCGTATGTGTAAATAAAGGCGCGGGCGCGTGTATGTTTTGTGCGTGTTTGTGTGCGTGCGTGCGTGCGTGCGTGCGTGTGTGGGTGTGTGTGTGTGTGTGTGTGTGTGTGTGTGTGTGTGTGTGTGTGCGTGCGTGTGTGTGTGTGTGTGTGTGTGTGTGTGTGTGTGTGTGTTAAATCGTACATCGACGTAAATGTATTTTATTTATAGTTTAAAAAAGAAATAATTGTTTTCGTGTAGAGATTATATTGCAGAAAAATAAGAAATGATACAAAGCAATTAATTTATTCTTAAAAGCTATGAAGTTAATCTTGAAAGCAAGACTAAGCTATAACGCGAACTAAGGAGAGTTATGTTAAAATTTTCTCTGCGTGATAAGTTCCGTAACGGGGATACCCGCAGTAGAACAAGCTTAAATAACATAGACAATAATTGGTTTAACACAAAAATCTTGAGTGGCAAAAACCCGGCCACAACCCGAAGAAATGACACCTGAAGCGATAATTGAGGTGGTCAGCTCGTCCGTCATCGGTGCAACGTCAATAGATAGCGTACACCTGATAATGTAGGTGTGGGAGTGGTTGCTCAGCTTTGTGGCAATCTGTGTGAGGCAGCCACTTGTAATGGCAAATGATAATTATTATAAATGTTTTAAATGCATTTAAAATGTATATGCGAGGAACCATTAATCTTACACATTAATCTGTATCTATTTATTTATTGTGCAAAATGGATTAACAGTTAAACAGACGAAAAAACAAAGCATTTTTAATTTCATTCATTTATGATGAAGAGGGCACTAACATCACTCAAAAATTGTGTTTAGAACATTAGAATCATTTTATTTATTTTCAATTTTAAATTAGACCTATTTATTATAAACCTCAGTGGCGTAGCTAGGCGTGGGCAAAGGGGCCCCTTGCCCACGGCCTCACACTTAAAGGGCCCTCGCGAGGCCCTTTTAAATGATATACCCCTAGACTTTGACTGTTAGATTGACGGAATACGAGACTTGTCAGGAATTAATAGCTATGAGTAGATATGTCGTGTCAAATTGTCATGTTTGGCAGGATAGATCTATTGGGTAGATCTTGGGAACGAAAGAAAAGGGGCCTCGCTGATGTGACTTCGCCCACGTCTATATTAGTCCTCGCTACGCCTCTGATAAACCTTAAAGTACTTTCTATGTATTACATTTTCCCACCCCTCCCACCGCTTTAAGCAAGCTTTCTTCGGTCCATGCGCTATTTTTTAATATTATCGAAGTATATCCATAAGAAGATAAAATAATACAATAAAATACCCATGACGTACCTACAGATTTTGAGTAAAAATTTACTAGTGTATAATTTGATTTTACGTGTAAATTAGGAATAGTTCGCCAGTCACAATGCTAGTTAATAGTTTATAAAAATTATAACTTACCTTTACAAATATTATGGCTTACTGTTTACATTTTGAGTGTATAAGGTTAGAACCACATTACGCCCACATGTGCCATATCTGCCGATCTGAAGGCATCAGATTTCTTATTTTATGTAGTTGCCATAATGGATTATGTTATTATGGCGAATGTTTTAATAACTAAATTAGATCAATAGAATGCACCCGCGATATCAGATGCTTCCTCAACATACAGAAATAATACATGAATACTAAGTCTCAGCCATGTGCATCGGCTAAATGTAGTTCTAGCCTAATTAGTGTCGAATATTGCATTTAGGTTTGTGAATGAATCTCGTATATCTACGTATTAGAATATTTACTAAAATATATTAAATAGATACTTGATCGTTTTCTTATTTCTTTATTTCCTTAATCTACAGCAAACAATAACACATAAAGCTACCAGGAGTCCAGTTACCTACCATAAGAGCAATGATAGGTAATAAGTTATTGTTGACTTACAAAGACGAGTACCTATTTTAAAAGAAAAAACTAAGAATAACAATTTTATTTTTATGGATTGTTACGAAAAAATATAAATCATAATTATTACGTTCCCGAAAATATCATTATTGTCGTAAAAAGAAAATAAATAATCGATTATTATAATATCACCGTTTAAATTAGCTCTTTTAAACTGCGATGATACATATTCCAAATCAGCGCAAAGAAGTTGGCTTGGAAGTATGACTGGTCAAATTAATGAATAGGTGCACATAATTGCTCACTAAATGCTCAATTCAAATCTGCAATTGCTCACATTAATTTATTATTTAAATAGTTATTAATAATTTAAAATACAGAATTTTTTTTGTCTATTATACTTAAAACCAATAAACTTTTTTTAAATGAATAACTGCACATAATTGCTCACAAAACGCTTAATTTAAATCCGCAAATGCTCACACTATTAATAAATTATTTGTTAATAATTTAAAATACAAAATAGTTTTTTCCTACACCGATCAGATTAATGAATATGCGCCCATAATTGCTCACTAAATGCTCAATTCAAATCTGCAATTGCTCACACTATTAATTAATTATTTAATTAGTTATTAATAATTTAAAATACAAAATGGTTTTTTCCTAAACCACTCAGATTAATGAGTAAGTGCTCATAATTGCTCAGTAAAGGCTCAATTCAAATCCGCAATTGCTCACATTATTAATTTATTATTTAATTAGTTATTAATAATTTAAAATACGGAATATTTTTTGTCTATTATACTTAAAACCAATAAACTTTTTTTTAAATGAATAACTGCCCATAATTGCTCACAAAATGCTTAATTTAAATCCGCAAATGCTCGCACTATTAATAAATTATTTAATTATTTGTTAATAATTTAAAATACAAAATTGTTTTTTCCTACACCGATCAGATTAATGAATATGCGCCCATAATTGCTCACTAAATGCTCAATTCAAATCTGCAATTGCTCACACTATTAATTAATTATTTAATTAGTTATTAATAATTTAAAATACAAAATGGTTTTTTCCTAAACCACTCAGATTAATGAGTAAGTGCTCATAATTGCTCAGTAAAGGCTCAATTCAAATCCGCAATTGCTCACATTATTAATTTATTATTTAATTAGATATTAATAATTTAAAATACAGATTTTTTTTGTCTATTATACTTAAAACCAATAATTTTTTTTAAATGAATAACTGCCCATAATTGCTCACAAAATGCCTAATTTAAATCCGCAAATGCTCACACTATTAATAAATTATTTAATTATTTATTAATAATTTAAAATACAAAATTGTTTTTTCCTACACCGATCAGATTAATGAATATGCGCTCATAATTGCTCACTAAATGCTCAATTCAAATCTGCAATTGCTCACACTATTAATTAATTATTTAATTAGTTATTAATAATTTAAAATACAAAATGGTTTTTTCCTAAACCACTCAGATTAATGAATAAGTGCTCATAATTGCTCAGTAAAGGCTCAATTTAAATCCGCAATTGCTCACACTATTAATTAATTATTTAATTAGTTATTAATAATTTAAAATACAGAATTTTTTTGTCTATTATACTTAAAACCAATAAACTTTTTTTTAAATGAATAACTGCCCATAATTGCTCACAAAATGCTTAATTTAAATCCGCAAACGCTAACACTATTAATAAATTATTTAATTATTTATTAATAAATAATTAATTAATAGTGTGAGCAATTGCAGATTTGAATTGAGCATTTAGTGAGCAATTATGGGCGCATATTCATTAATCTGATCGGTGTAGGAAAAAACAATTTTGTATTTTAAATTATTAGTAAATAATTAAATAATTCATAAATAGTGTGAGTTTTTGCGGATTTAAATCAATCATTTTGTGAGTAGTTATGGGCAGTTATTTATTTAAAAAAGAGTATATTGGTTTTAAGTATAATAGACAAAAAAATTCTGTATTTTAAATTATTAATAACTATTTAAATAATTAGTTAATATTGTGAGCAATGTCAGATTTGAATTGAGCATTTAGTGGGCAATAATGGGCGCATATTCATTAATCTGATCGGTGTAGGAAAAAACAATTTTTTATTTTAAATTATTAATAAATAATTAAATAATTTATTAATAGTGTGAGTTTTTGCGGATT